AAAATTTTTTCCCAAGGTAAGGGTCGTTGGCAATCTTTCCAGGGGAAAAAGGGTCTTTGCTATCTTTTCCGCAAAATGGGTTTTTGGGGACTCTTTCCAGGGGTAAAGGGGTTTTTGGAAAATTTTTCCAGCAAAAAATGGTTTTTTGGCAATCTTCCAGGGTAAATGGGTTTTGAATCTTTCCAGGGGAAAATTTTGTTGGGCACTTTCCCCGGTAAAGTTTGTTCAATTTTCCCCGCGGGCAATTTTTTCCAGAAAAAATTTGGGTTTGGCAACTTTGGGGCACTAAAAGCATAATCAGTTTTTGATACACTAAAAATTAAGCTTTTTGGGCAATACAAACCCCCTGTTAGCAACCTTTTTGGCACTTTTTTTTAAAAATTTAAGAAATTTTTTTTGGACAGTAAGTTTGAAAGCAATCTATTTTAAACCCATTTTAAAAAAAATTTTTGCTTTATCCTTTAAAATTGTTTATAAATTTGAGCGAAAAAAAAAACTAGTGAGCTTAAGCACATAAATATTTTTTTACACCCGGGTCCATTCCCAAATAAAAAGTGTAGTTTAAAAGGAAATATAAAATAAAAAAAAAGTAGGGTGTTAGTTTTTGACAATAAATTTTAAATAATAAAAAAAATAAAAAAAATTTTTGAGAATGTAGATAAAATATAAGATGATTGAAAAAAAAAAGTATCGCAAGAAAAAACTTAACAAAAACTATATGCTAATAAAGATTTATTACATTTGTAGAAATAAAACCAAAAAATACAAAATGTAGTATTTGAATTAGACTTACTTTTTTATAGGCACGGAGAATGAATTTGTTTGTAAAATGTCGAAAATATAAGAAAAAACATTTTTTCTGTGCCAGCTGAAACTAAAATGCCCCTATCATGCCGTGAAACCCCCGCATCCACTTTCAAACAAAAGTGGGCCCTTTAAGCCAAGGACAACCTCCCTGCCAAAAACTGAGGTTTTTAAAACCAGTGCATTTTAAATTATGTATTTTACATGCTTTTAATTAAAAAATTTAAAAAACAAAAACATTCGGGCAGGACATTCTTTTGCAATTGAAAAAAAAGTTTTTTTTTTAAAGGGCCTGTGACCTTTACCCAGTGACCTAAAATCAAAAAGGGTACCTATAGTCATATAACATTTATGCCCAAATATGAAAAGGGGTCAAAGGAAAACTTAAGTTTAAAGGTGGACAAATTTTTTAAGTCAAATCCCTATGACCTTACCTTTTATCCTGACCTCAAAATCAAAAGGGGGCATCTACTAAACATGATCAAAAATCCATGCCAAATATGAAACTGTGGGGGAAAGGAAAACTAAATTATTGGGGAGACAAAAATTTTTTTAAGTCAAAGTCCCTTGACCTTTTTATGGTGACCTCAAAAAACCAATAGGGTCATTCTAACTGACTAACCTCCCTTTCCCAAATAAAACTTTGGGGCAAAGGGAAACTTAATTATTGGCGGAAAACTTTTTTTAAGTCAAGCCCCTGGACCTTACCTTTGACCTGGGGGACCCAAAATCAAAGGGTCATCTACTAATCATGACAAACCCCCATGCCAAATATGAGCTGTGGTCAAAAGGGAATCTTTTAAACACGCTTATAGGGCTCGCGACAACGCTTTTTGAAGTCAAGCGAAGCCTCTGGTGACCTGACCTTTGACCTGGTGTGACCTCTAAAGTCAATAGGTCAATCTACTAATCAGATTCTGAACCTCCATGCCAAAAATGAAGACTAAGGGTCAAAGGAATCTTAAGTGATTGGGCGACAAGCTTTTTAAATTCATGCCCCTGTCACCTGACCATGGACCCTGGTGACCCTCAATAGTCCCAATAGGGCAACTACTAATCATACTAACCTCCTTGTTCATAAAATGGGAAATGACGTGGTCAAAGGAATTCTTAAGTTATTGGCGACCCAAATCTTTTTAATTATCAATCCCTGTGACCTGACCCTTTGACCTCGCGTCACCTCAAAGTCCGAATAGGGGTCCATTCTTCGTAATCATGTACTAATCTCCATGCCCAAATATGAAGGACTATGGGATCAAAGGGGAATTCTTAACTTATTGCAGACAAGGCTTTTTGATATCCAAGCCCCCTGTGACCTTGATCCTTGACCTGGTTGCACTCAAATATCAATAGGGTCATCTACTAATCATGACTAAACCTCCATGCCAAATAATGACAGACTAAGGGTCAAAGAATCTAAAGTTATTGGGCTATTTCGGACAAGCTTTTTTGAAAAGTCAATGACCCTGTAACCTACCTATTTAACACCTGGTCTGACCTCAAACATCAATAGGGTCATCTACAATGATGAACTAACCTCCATGCCAAATATGAAACCTGTGCGGTCAACAGGAATCTTAACGTTATTGACGCGGACAAGGCTCTTTTGAAGTCAAGCCCGTGTTACTGACCTTGACCTTTCGACCTAGTGAACCTCAAAACCAATAAGGGGTCATCTACTAATCCATGACTAACCCTCCATGCCAAATATGAAGACTACAGGGTCAAAGAATCTTAAGTTATTGGCGGACAAGCTTTTTGAAAGTCCTAACAGACCCTGTTGAATCTCTGACCTTGTAAACTCTGGTGACTCTCAAAAATCAGAATAGGTTCATCTACTAACTCATTTTTGATCTAACCTCCTATGCCAAAATATGAAACTGTAGGTCAAAAGGAATCTAAAGTTATTCTTGACGCGGACACAATCTTTTTTTTGAAAGTTCAAGGCCCCTGTGACCTTTTACGCTTTGAACCTATGACCTCAAAACTCAATAGGGCGGTCATCTACTAATCATGACTAACCTCCATGCCAAATAGTAAGTGACTAAGGTCAAAGAAATCTTAAAGTTATTGGCGGACAAGCGAAAAAAAAACCGACGGCCCGCCCGGACTGACACAACAGACAAGCTCGATTCCAGAGACCCCCCCTTACAATCTTTGTTGTGCGTGGTGGGTATAAACTAAAGTAGTAATAAGTCCCTTTCGATAACCATCTGTAAGAGTCTAGACCCACCTTTCACATCCTTTGCCAGTCTTCCCAGGCTCCTATACTTTTAACTACAATGCTTGCATCATTTCAGATCTTGGGACGGACATCCCTAAAACTTTAAATGTGCAGTTCTAAATTCAAGCATGGCAAGTATATTAGACAATGTCAACAGGGTGAGGTTAAAGTATGTGGGCTCACCTTTTCAACTCTACCATCTGATATGACAAATGTTTCTTTGCATTTTCAAAATTTAAACCATATCAACTTAAAAGAACATGTTTTTTTATACGTCAAATTAAATTCACTTTAGTTATATGTCAGTTATGTAAAGACTTTCTTGCTCTCTTTTTCCACCTAAAAAGTCAACATTGATCCAAAATTTGAGGAAATTCTGCATTCTGACCAGGTTCCATATTTAGTAGCAAAGCTTTGCTTTCAAATGGATCAATGACCTTGTTTGACTGGATAACCATGATTATGCTATATTTATCAGGATTTTTTCAATGTTAAGAGTAAAATAACTGACACAATCGAACGTAAGATTAACAAAATGCCTCATACTTAGCACTTTCTGATCTGCTGAATTTATTTTACATCCTAACAATTATCAAAATATGTCAAAATCAATGAAAACAAATGTATTATACCCGTAGCTAAAACTACATATTATAGTAGAGATACTAAATAGTATTCAAATCTGTACTTAATAGTAGATTTATATCTTTTATGGTCAATTTTTAATGAGTTTTTGTTTTTAATGAACCTGTATATTGCAATGTGAGCAGCATCAAACTTTCCCTAATAAAATTCTCACCAACTAGATTTAAGTAGGGCGACGTCCTTTTACCTTTGCAAGGGTCATTTGATGATCACTTGATGACCATCAATATTTATGAACATGATTCTTCCAAAAATGTATTTTGAGTTACACTTAAAACAATTCAAACCATTCAAATTTCATTCAAACTTTGCTACTACAGTTTCTGTTTACTATTCAGATACATGTATTTTTTTCCAACTTTCTTTCATTTCATTCTTTTCTCGTTAACATGTCTATATGGTGTTACCCAGTTTCTGTTTCAGATGGACTTTCATCATCAGGATTCATATCTTTCTGTTCTTCAACCTCATCCGCTTCAGGTGTCTTATCATTTTCAGTTTTTTCTGCTGCAGTTGATGATTCATCAGCTTTATTCACACTTTCATCATTAGTTTCATTTCCAGCTTTATCATCAATTTTATTGCCAACTTTATCATCAGTTATACTGACAGTTTTATCATCAGTTTCAGATGTTGAAGTCACTGCACTAATACCGCTATTTTTGTTGGAATTTTTTGATTTATCAGAACTGTTATCAGTTTCTCCAGATTCAAGAAAATTCTCCCATTTTTTCAGTCTAGCTTCTCTCTCAGCTTCTGTCTCCTCAATCTAACAAACATACAATAAAAGTATACAAAAAACAGTGAAAAAACAGTAAAAGAAACAACAATTTACTACTGGGCAGAAGCTTTATTGTGATATTCTTTATTTTGAAACAGAAAGCTAAGTTATATTTTTAGCTAATTAAAATTAAATGGTATTCCTTTGGTTACTTCCTATAGTGCTGGTAAAATGGTCAAATGAGCCATTTTTTATAATATTTCCTTTATAATTTTTTCTGTCCATCTTTCACTAACCATACAAAGCAATTTACAATTTACCCTAGCATTTTCTTGCATACCATCCTTTATTGTAGTTTGCACAGTTGCTGGAAAATCTTATCTTGCATCCACAAGGTGCATTTGCAAGCCCTTGTTTCCTTTAGTAAGATACTTTGCATTCATTGCTTAGTACTGGTTGGTTCAAGAAACAGATTATAGAGTGTTTCAATAAGCTCAAAGCTTCCAACACAATCAAACTAAAATAAATTTGTATAAACTAAACTAACATAAGTTGTGTCCCTTGAATGCCATTCCACCATTGCTAAATCCATACAGCGCTTAACAGACATATTAGTTTTTAATATTTCTCCCTTAATTAATATGTTAATTGCAAGAAAATATCAAGCACTGACTGCGGGTGAAGACAAAATATCACTGTTAAACTTCTGCAGCAGAGAGGCAGATATATGTACTGGCAGTCAGTGTAAAATTATTGTATATAATCATATTTAGCTGAACTTGTACTGACCTCGTATTTTGTATTACCATCCCATGTTGCTGCTAGTACTCTCCTCTGCCCAAAGTAACGTTGATGCATATATTCTATACACATATCGGCTTCCTCCGGCTCTTTAAAGTGAACTGTCGCTACTCCATCTGGATGTCTCTATTCCAAAAGTGAAAACACTATATTGTTTTTAGGAATATAATTTAACATGTGTAGTCCCTAATGTTAACTCATAGTTTTAATCATAGCGTTTACTGCCAATTAATGAATGATTTCTATCAATATTCAAAGCAAAAAATGTATAAGTACAGACTCTAATATAAACCTGTTACCTATAGTTTGACTCTTAGGATTTGCCAGTAAATAATGATATTTCTTTTTAATATTCAAGGCAAGCCAAGTATAAAATTTGGCTACTATATTTGATATGTGAAAATAGCCATTTTAACAGACAAAGTTTAAGACAAAAACTTTTTGTGGATACAGGACCCTTATTTATTTGATTTTTCAATACATAACAATGAAAATTGGTATTTTCAAGAAAAAGGAAAGTAATATAAATCTTTAAAGGAGTTTAATGATAAAATGAGAATTAACTACAAAAGGTATCGTTTATTTCCTGCTATGTCAAAGTATTCCTCGGAAAATGGACATGTTCATAAGAGAAATTTAGTAGAGAAAAGGGTAAAAACATTGTGACTATAGAAATAAATTCCTCCTGAATAAACATTAAATTTGTCAGTTTAGAAAACATTGCCATTTAAATGAAAATCTGAAAACTATTTACAAAAAACATAAACTTACATCGTAGACAACAACTTTTTTAACTTCACCATACTTTCCACATTCAACTCTTATATCTCTAGATAACACATTTATCTGCACTGGATTCTCCTGCAGAAAAATCAAAAGTTGTATCATTATACATAAAGAATATAACCAGAAATGTACTGACTTCCATTAGTAAGTCCTATTATTGCTTTGAGCTAGTGCTTTATAATTGTAAACAAATGTTCTTGTATCTTGAAAACATTATGAAACAGGCCTAAGGGGAGTTACAAAAATTCTTTGGGACAAGACTAATGCAGACCTATATGAAATGACAACAAATGTACAAGTCTTTTTAACAAACAAAATTATGGACCCAGAAAATATCCACAAAAAAAAGATAGGCCATTTTACACAGACAGACAGACTGGCATTCAAATTATCATATGCCTCCCTTCAGAGGCCTAAATACATATCTGAATCACATAAAAATGTCCATTAGGTCATGTGGTATGGGTCAATTGCCAAATTGAGTAAACTCATGTTTTCACTCATTTTCCATTTGTTCATCAGTCTCTTAGAATAATCCCATCATTTTAGGTATCACTGTAGGTATCACCAAAGATCAGAAACTATTATTTTGCCCATTTTTGCCTCTACATAATTCAGCAAAAGATGTCACCCCTGTTAGATGTATGATTAATTTTGTCTCTTTATAGTATTATCTATGTTACACAAGTCATTATATCATAAAACCAACCTCAAATGTTTTAGGATCAAACATATTCTTGAGAACAACAACTTTCTCATGTTTCATTCTCGCACCACGAGGCTTATCTGGTCTCCAGTCAAATAATCTAAAATCAAAATAAATCATAAACAACAGATAATAAAATACAAATAACAAGTAATGTAACATATACAACAAATAATATATAGACGATATTTAAGTTTCTTGATACAGGATCTATTTTCATCTTATGGTATGAAAATAAGTATTTCACGAGTGGCAGTAGTCAAGAGTGAAATATGATAATGTTCATACCATAAGATGAAAATAAATCCCATATTTGTAGAAAATACTTGAATTTTCTGTTTATTACATACTTTTCCCCCCTCTTTTTTAACCTTATGTATAGGAAGAATTCCCTTTTAATTTTATGTTTTGCCTTTGGCTTAATTTATAAGAAAGTAGTGCAGCAAGACACCAGTAAAAATGTAGAAAATATGTTTCACTGCAGTAAAAAATAAAGTTTTAAAGTGAAAATACGGAAAATAAAAATACGCATTTTATTACATCAATATTTCACAATATTTCACTTATAAGTATATAATAAAACACATGTATAAACAACTTATAACCTAAAATAAACATTTAATTAGCTGTAATATGTGGCTAAATCGTAAATCATGGAAAAATAGTCTACTGTAGATTTAAAGCTTCCCAAGAGCAGAAGGGGTGTTTAAGATGACAAAAAATGATGTACAATACAACCTAATATACAATGTAATGCTTCTTCTTTAAATATTTTACTTTGGGTCCTCAGAAAAGACTTTAAACCTTTTTTTATCCATGTTTATGAAACAAATGTGAGCCCCAAGGGATGCACAATAATAATAGTGACCTAATAGTCACAATTTATTATAATTTATACATCATGCAGGACTTGAGCTAGGGGTGATTAGGGCAAAGAAGTCGCCTTCAGATGAGCGACTTCGACAAAAACAAACTTCAAAGTAAACATTTTTATGATCTGTCATAATTACTTACAATGCTAGGTCTGTTAACAATTTGTTTACTTCTCAATTACGACATGTAACATATACAACTATTGTAGATAATCTCTATGAAATGCAACATACCAAATATTTACCTTTTAGGTTCATTGAAGAAGATTAAAAAAAAAAATTAAAATGACCCTGATTTCTTTTTTGCCTGCACGTCAGTATACACTTTTATGTTGAAATTCCTAGGCCCTTACTATGCTGGAATCAAGTGATTACAGTCTAGGAGTCTGAGCAGGATCTATACGGTTGGCTAATCAACTCTATTAAATTCACCGTTACATTCTCACAAATTGATAAAAGGACATTTCCACAAGTGAAAACCTGACAAGTCCATTTAAGCAGTTCAGCAGGTAAAGAGTTAAATTACAGAGAAATATAAATTGTGGTATGCATTATTACATACTTTGCCTGTCTCTCTTTTAACCTTCTCTTCTCTTTGTTTGACAATTTCTTTTTCTTCTTACTTGGATCAAAGTCACCCTTCATTGAGAACTGAGCTCGTGTCACAGAAATCGTGTGCCCATTATATTCAGAACCATCGAGTAGATTCAGCACCAAATCAACTGATTCTTTCTGTGTACATAATGAATAATAAGTAAAGATGAATAAATATAATGAATAATAAGCAAATTAGGGGAAACACAATTATAATATCAACACCATCAATTTATCTGCAATACAGGTAATCAATATATAATTTATCCTTACAATTGTAAAATGGACTCTTACTGTTTTAATTATGAAACGGTCAATTGTTAATCTGAGGGACTTCAAAATATAATGCCATATAATGAGGCATAAAAAAGTGTACAAACCTACTATCTACTTGTTTATTTAGTTCACATATTACATTGTGTAAACGTGCAAATATATAGTGCTTATTTAGCATACATTGTACCTGTTTACTTATCATTTAGTGTATATGTTTAACCCTGTTTATCCCTTGCACATATTTACTTATCCAGTATACACAGAATTAAAGATGATGAATGATGGCATACATATACTAGTATCATCCTTAAAATGGGAAGCAAAAGTCCAAATTTAGTTTAAACTATCTATTTTAGCTTGACTGCGAAACAAGTTCTTGCAACTTATATTAATCACTTTTGAGTCCGCTTCCTGGAACTCCTCAGTATTGGTGTCATATAAAGAATCATCATCGTGACCAGAGTAGGGCTTTAACCCTTGATCCCTTTGTTGAGAGGCAGACACCTTAACCAATTGGCCGCCGCTCCACACCAAATTTTCCAAGCTACTATTGATTCAAATTCATCATGTAGTTTTTAGGGTGATCTGGACAACTTTCAGCTCAAAACAGTCTGGTGATAGACACAATGTTAGGATGCCAGTTGCTGCTGTCCATCCATGTAAATTACCTCATCATAACAAGCATCATAATTCAATAATACAATAGACAAAAAAAAAAATATTTAAAATCTAGTGACTTAATTGTGACCTGCATAAAACACAAAGGAAGGGATCAAATGCTGTTTTTTTTTCATCATTTATCTCTATACCTTTTTCACAGAATATAGCCGTTCATTATTCCATAATCATAAATGTCACGCTCTAACTGCACTGTAAGTGCACTATAATATGTTCTTCCATTATTCTTTATTTCACACATACAATCCCATAAGTCATCATCCTAAATACCAGCTAGAATGAATAACATAGTTATAACTACCTTTATAAAACAACACCTTCCATCACCCTTCGGTTGACCATTCTCATCGAGGTAAAGTTTCAATTTAGGTTTGCGAGTTCTGGGATCATTCATTACAAGGCCATATTTTGTCATCATTTCTTTAAACTGTTCTGGTGTTATATCCAGGGGAAGACCGGATACATATACATTAGTGTTGTGCTCATCGTCCACATTAAACCAACCTGGTAAATATCAAAGTATTGTAACATTTAGCATGTCTTTACACTACGTTTGTGTAACACAAATGATGTCACTTCAAAATATATGCTTGGCCGTGCAATACTATTTTGACTGAGTCACAAAACTGGCACGTGTGTGTGATAATATACAATTACTACATGTAAAGTAGTTATACTATTCTACAACAATATTGAAAGTCTAAATTAATAAAAGTGAAAAAAAAATCACATAAAGGGATTCTTTATTAACACTTTGGTTTGTTTAAACAAGCAATTATCAGTTATTTAAAAATTACTGCATTTCAGTCTTAACTGAAATAATCTGAAAATTAACATGACAACATTTTAATAGACAATTCATTTGTAAACTGCCTGTAAGTTTGTTGTGTTTTATGTCACATCATTATGGTTGAAATCATAGGGTGACCGTTTTGCTGGTATAGAAAGACTTCAGGTGCCTCTCAGTACATTATTTCATTATTTCCTGGACAAGTTTAAACCGGAGTAGAACTACTGATCTAACCGTACAAAATTATTTTCTTAGAAAACTTTGCACTATATTGTAGGAGCACTTAGAGTATAGTAAGTTAGGTTTCGATCCAGCTGAAAGTCGATTATTTAATTAAATAGCATTTAAAGGCACCTGACAAGTAACTCCTATGTGACTCTCTCAGTAAACAAACTCAGAGTTACATGCCCCTCATCATTATAGGCCTTGAAAAATTTCTGCCGATCATGCTCTTAAATAAGTGTGGGAAGTTTTAACCCATTCCCTTCAGTAGTTTTGGAGATATCAACTTGCACGCAAAAACTTAACCAAAGTGTGGCGCCGACGTCAACGCCTGGGTGATTACAACAGCTCTCCCTTTTCTTGAAATCGTCAAGCTAAGTAACAAGCAATGGGGTAATGCTAACTCGGATAAAGCAGTGACACCTGTAGGATTACAATAACTTTTCCCTATTCTTTGAATTATTGAGCAACAAGCAATTATCATAGTATTGCAAGCAATCCATAAGTCCCCTACCGGTAAGAGCCCAAGCAACATTCTGAAGGGCCATTGGCCATTCACTTATGTTCCTATTTTAAGTAAATTTGTTGAAAAAGTTCTTTAAAGTGATCACAGGAAACAGTTTTTATGTACAGACAGACGGACTGAAGGACACTCTAAAGTTATTTTTTAAACATCCTTGTTACCAAAATATAACATTTTTAAAATCCTATCATGATTGAAGATGTTGGAGTAAAAATTACCAATTTCTCAATAAAAAAATCTAAGTTCAAAAGGGGCATAATTCTGGAAATAGTCTTGCTAGAGTATTGAACACTCACAAATGTTGAGTGATAATAAGAAACATTTATATGAAGTTTGAAGTAGATACATTCAGAAAAAGAAGTTATTAAAAAAAAAAACAATGTTTTTTCACGAAAATTTTAAGTTCAAGGGAGGTAATTCTGATAAATTTTGTGCTAGAGTTGTAAACCTTGTCCCATATGATGTGGTTGATTACAAGCAACTTATATTTAAAGTTTGAAGAAAATACCTTAAGAAATAAAGAACTTATAGTGAAAAAACTTAAAAACTAGAATCAGAAATCTTGAAATTCAGTCTATTTGTTGCCATAGCAACCAGAATTTTCAACATAGGAAGATAAGAAAAGGATGTGCATAATTTCCATACTGCCATATACCCATATGTCATGTTTCATAAACATATTTTCAGTACTTTTTGTGTTATCACTGGATCCAGGTTATGTGTAAAATTTGCCATATTTTCAGTCTATTTGTTGCCATAGCAACCAGAATTTTCAACATAGGAAGAAAAGAAAAAGACGTGCATAATCTCCATACTGCCATCTATCCATATATCAAGTTTCATAAAAATATTTTCAGTACTTTTTGCGTTATTGCGGGATCCAGGTTATGTGTAAAATTTGCCATATTTTCAGTCTATTTGTTGCCATAGCAACCAGAATTTTTAACATAGGAAGAAAAGAAAGAGACCTGCATAATTTCCATACTGCCATCGATCCATATGTCAAGTTTCATTAAAATATTTTCAGTACTTTTTGTGTTATCGCGGGATCCAGTTTTGTGGACGGACGGACTGACGGACGGACAGACGGACGGACGGACTGACAGACAGACAGACGGACGGACAGACGGACGGACAGACGGACGGAGGGTAAACCTAAAGTCCCCTCCGGTAAACCGGTAGGGGACTAATAAATCATTAATACCTTCATTACTCTGCTGCTGTGGATTTACTTTCCTCTTTTTTCCTTTTTTCTTATCGTCTGCCTCTTTACTTCCCTTCTCATCTTCCTTGCCTGCTGCCTGACTTGATTCCTGACTGGCGTACTGGGCTAAACAGTCAGCATAGTAATCATGATAGTCTGTACTATAATAGTACGACCAATATTCATTGTACTCTTTCTTCTGCTCTTCTGTATACTTCTCCATGTCTTCTTTAGAATCTGTATGAAAAACAAGAGCTGTAAGTTAAGTAGTGTGCTCCAAAGCGTCATGTGACCCTATAAGCTTGATTAATTCTATAAAGAAACAGTTTGCAAATTACTTTATACATGCGTGCAAGTTAAAAATATCAGAAACCCTGATAACCCTGAATTTAGCATTATTTTCACTGGTTTTACAAAGAAAAAGAGTGCTTTCAGGAGTGTAAAAAACCTGAACTTCAAACAAATGCCTGTAAAAACAATAAACTTGTACCCATGCTAACTTTAGGCAAATGCCAAAAACTTGTACCTATGCTTATTCAAACATCAGGAACAATATTTTTTACCATGATGTTGTTCGGATGAATCTCCTTGTTCTTGCATTCTGTTTTCCAGGCTCTCCAGTTTCTGTAGAGTTTCTTCATGAGATTCCTCCTCGGCCTGCGACTCTTTCCTCTGCTTGTTCATCCACTCCTGATGTTGTAACTGAGCCTCGTTATAATTCTGCATGGAATAGAGCTCCCTTATTAATCTCAATTACACAGCACAACAATTGTTTGCGATATGTAATAATATGGAATGTTTAATCTCAGTAAGAACAAAGAGCTGTCCATAGGCAAGTTGACTGATGACATCACAAGCACCTGCTACCAGAATTTAGCAGTGCACTAGATTATTCTCAGTGCTTGACAGTAAGAAAAGAAGCATGACTCTGTATAAAGGTAACTCAGAATTATGGGACCTGTGTCCATCATGTCAGATGATCACAGAGACCAATTTTGTGAAGTGTCGACCCATTCCCTTCAGTAGTTTTGGATATATTCTTGACCAAGGTGGGAAGGTAATGCAGGGTCTGGTACAATAGCTCTCCCATTAATCAACCAGTTGAGCTAACAAAAACTATGGTTATTTTAGACTATGAGAAAACACAGCACATTACCTGGTAGTAATTGTAGTATTTCTCATCAGCACTTTTTTTACCATCCCCTTCTGGTGCCCCTTCATCTCCATAGTTCATTTGGTACTGGGCTATGAAATCAGAATCTATCTGAAAACGCAAAAAAAAAACCTACATGTATTTAAACTAATTTAAAATACATATAACATAGATACCAGTGTTGGATTTTTACCACACAATTTTGTAAGTCAACAAAGGGCTGTAATTCATTCAAAATCAACCCCATAGTTAAGGGTCTTTGAAGGTCACCTTTAATTGTAATTCTTAATTTTTAGATTTAAGTTGAATTCAAAACTTTTCTATTAGATCACAAAGAGCCATTAATCACTCAAAATCTTTGGAAGAGTTATGGGCAGTGGAAAGTGACCTTCAATAATGATTCTAAAGACATGTGTAAAGTTTCAAGTGAATATCTTCACTTCTTTTCAAGACTAGTGTTGCATGTAAAATTTAAAACAAGAATTTTCTAAGATCAAAAAGGGCCATAATACTGTCAAAATTCTTTCTAGAGTTACAGACTTCAGAAAATGACCTCCTATGTATGAAATCCCTAAACTTGGAATTTTAAAGCAGGTCAAAGCCAATGGACATGTTAAAGGGACTCCACTGAGGTTTTTGACATGACAGGACTGGAAATATTATTCTGAGATGAACTGATGCAAGTCTGGACCAACAACTTGTGTGCAAATTTTCAGGTCATTCCATCCACCTGATTGTCCAGAACAATCATTTGTATGGTGCAAAATGACCCAAAAATGAAAAGCGTTGCAATACTTTTAACTAAACTCCATCTAAGAATTGCACAAAAATAGATTTTCGTACATTTCTTTGTTATCCTTTGAAGACTTTTTAATTTTACTGTTAAGTAATACACTTGATATCTGTAAGATTTCCAAATCATATATCTTTAGGCATTTGGACCTCAGTGGAGTTCCTTTAATCAAAGTGACTAAACATCTGACTTAACTTAACATGTGCAATTTATGTTTTTAAAAACTAGAAATGTGTCCATAGGACACGGGTGCCCCCACTGCGCCACTGTTCTGTCAATATTTTCACTAAGTCAAGGGAAATAACTCTAAAAATACTGGATAAATCCACACGCGAAACCCCAGGTGCAAATCTAAATATGCTGAGAAACCTGCCCATAAGGTTTAATGACTATGTCAAATCCTTTTTGAGTAGCTTGCGACACAAGTTGAAAATTGCAAAAATTTTCTAAGTGAAGGGCAATAACTCTAAAAATACTAAATAAATCCAGACAAAAATACCTGGTGCACAACTGCACATGCTGATCAATATTCCTGTAAAGTAACATGACTCTAGGTCAAATACTTTTTGAGTTACATGCGACACAAGTTGAAAATTGCAAAATTTTACTAAGTCAAGGGCAATAACTCTGAAAATACTAAAAATATCCAGACGAAAATACCCAGGTGCACAACAACACATGCTGATCAACATTCCTGTAAAGTTTCATGACTCTAGGTCAAATACTTTTTGAGTTACATGCGACACAAGTTGAAAATTGCAAAATTTTACTAAGTCAAGGGCAATAACTCTGAAAATACTAAAAATATCCAGACGAAAATACCCAGGTGCACAACTGCACATGCTGATCAATATTCCTGTAAAGTTTCATGACTCTAGGTCAAATACTTTTTGAGTTACGTGCGACACAAGTTGAAAATTGCAAAATTTTACTAAGTCAAGGGCAATAACTCTGAAAATACTAAAAATATCCAGACGAAAATACCCAGGTGCACAACTGCACATGCTGATCAATATTCCTGTAAAGTTTCATGACTCTAGGTCAAATACTTTTAAGTTATATGCGACACAAGTTGAAAATTGCAAAATTTTGCTAAGTCAAGGGCAATAACTCTGAAAATACAAAAAATATCCAGACGAAAATACCCAGGTGCATAACTACACATGCTGATCAACATTCCTGTAAAGTTTCATGATTCTAGGTCAAATACTTTTTGAGTTACGTGCGACACAAGTTGAAAATTGCAAAATTTTACTAAGTCAAGGGCAATAACTCTGAAAAAACTAAAAATATCCAGACGAAAATACCCAGGTGCACAACTACACATGCTGATCAACATTCCTGTAAAGTTTCATGACTCTAGGTCAAATACTTTTTGAGTTACGTGCGACAACAAGTTGAAAATTGCAAAATTTTACTAAGTCAAGGGCAATAACTCTTGAAAAAAACTAAAAATATCCAGACGAAAATACCCAGGTGCACAACTACACATGCTGATCAACATTCCTGTAAAGTTTCATGACTCTAGGTCAAATACTTTTTGAGTTACATGCGACACAAGTTGAAAATTGCAAAATTTTACTAAGTCAAGGGCAATAACTCTGAAAATACTAAAAATATCCAGACGAAAATACCCAGGTGCACAACTACACATGCTGATCAACATTCCTGTAAAGTTTCATGACTCTAGGTCAAATACTTTTTGAGTTACGTTCGACACAAAAGTGAACGGACGGACGGAAGGACGGACCGACGGAGGGACAAGGGTAAATCTAAATGCCCGCCACTATCGTGGGGGCACAATAATTACTTTTGGAAACCATGCTTTCTTCTCAGTGTCCCACTCATAGACTGTTCCATCGGGATCAACTCTCTCCCCTTTATTATCTTTCTCAAGTTTGACTTTGCGTTCATGTTCAAGTCTTTCCAATTCAAGCTGTTCTTCAAAGTCTATGTCGCCCATCTTTTTTTTTACCTAGAATTTTAAGACAAGATATAAGATATAAAACTGAGCAAACAAAATTCTCAACTAAAATCTGAAATACTAAAACTTCAAAACAAATTATATGACACAAGAGATAATGCAAATTACAAATGATAATGAAAATGAAAATTACAACTATTTATTCAAGTATAAAATGATTACTTTACAATGCAAGTTATGGAAAGATCAATTTCAAAGATATTTATAACTGATTTCTAGAAATGCATATCTCAAGGGTCTGATAAGAGCAAAGATGAATGCTTTCGCTGATTTTTTCTATTTAACTCTAGGTCATTTGTGAAGCGTTCTTGGGCAATTTTCTCAAAAAAGATCATTCAACTATTTTACAATAAAGTTAATTCTCACTTGTAGTGGTCTTACTAGTGAATTGCTCTTATTTGAGAATAATCTGCTTTAAAAACTTTTGAAGTCCATCTAAGCTTAATGTACATGTATAAAAACCCATGTCTCAGACTCTGATTTAGTTTCTATCTTTGTTTTTAAGATAGCCAAATTTTCTTCTTTTTTTATATATGGGTTCTAGCTAAACTTTTTTTAAAGTCTTTCTCACTTTTATTTATCAATTTATCATTGTTTCATTCTCTTTTAAATTCAATTCTTTTCTTAACTTTTTTACATGACTGGAATTTTGACTTACTGATTTTAAGTGTAATACGAATGCAAACTAAACTAAAGAAAGAATGAGGTTTAAAAGTTTTTCAAGTTATAGTACATAATCTTGTTTTCTCAATTTTATAACATTCATGAAACAATAGATGAAAAAGAATTTATGATATTCGTACTTCCCATTGTAATTTTATATATTAATACATATAAATTATCTAAATAAATCACACTTTAATTGATAGTTTGGTGCATCCAGCAATTTTGACCGTACTTGCCATCAACAAACAAAAATTAAAATGCTATTGGCCAGCTGATTACTACCTACATGTACATGTAATATTACGCTGATAAAATTAATGTTATCATTATTTGCTTCTCAATTCTTGCAGAATGAACTAGAGTTATCACTGAAGGTGATTTATATCCCCACCAGCAACCTTTGACTTTTGAAAAATAAGTGGTCTGAAAAAGAATTTGAACTCAACCTTTAGTAAATTTTTTTTTTTTTTTTCAACTCAACTCAATTTTATTTAAGTAAATAAAGGCCTCCGGCCCAAAATACACAACAGTATAAATATTATAGTGTATACATGTATTGAATGTAGTTGCATAACATATAAAATTAAAATAAAATAAGTCAAGAGCTGGTACTTTTCAACAAGTGATATACAAACAGAGATAGTTTATAAATATTTTCTTCATTTTGTGTACTCATTCAGCGAAATAAAAATCGTTAATTGTAGTACATTTGAATACCAATTTATAGAGATAATTATTCTGGACGTTCATTAAAACTTAGAACATTGGAAAAAAGGCAGAAATTCACCAATCAATAGCAGTTACATTATTTTTGGTTAAAACAAAAATAAAACATTATTCTTTCATGAAGTGTATATATTAGTTTGTCTTCCCATTTCAATCGCTAGATTTGTGACAGGAACATCGAAACCTTGCGCAAGAGCAACCATAAATATTTTCTTGGGAAAAAATATCACAAAAGTAAAATAACGTTTCAGGATTTAATTGACTCTTAAAAAATTTATAATGGTAACAACGGACGCAATATTTATATCCATTATGCCATTTTTGACTCAAAACACTCTTTCAGCCGTTGACGAAAAGTTAAATAAATATTCTATATTTCCAATATCTTGTTGTGCAAGCCATACATATCCAAAACCGTAAAGTATAAAGTAGTGATTTACTTTTGATGCCCAACAATTTCGACCGCTCTCATCTAGGGATTCAACATTTTATAACATTGTCTGGGATATCTATGATCTGGGCATAGTCAACAATTTACACCAGTATTTTATACAATTAACAAAATAAGTTATACACAATGGCAAACGTCCACATTCTCCTAAAACTATACATGTATTTGTTGTCCTTTTTACACTTAAATATGCTTTTTACAAAATTTATTTTGAACTGCCTCGATAGAATCAACAATTTCGTATCCCCATATCTGTGACCCATAGCCATAAAATAGGTTTAACCATACTATATCAAATAGAATGAAAAAGTTCGTTTGTTGGAAAATAACCATATGGTTTTTATAACTAAAATAGAAAGTATTGCACGTTGTGCTTGTGCACTTAATTTTATCTTGTGCCTGCACTCCATGATAAACCCTGGTGTAAATAAAAGTCCCATATATTTTAAACGCGAAGTAACTTTAAGAGTACTACTCCGAAAATGCAATTTTCATATTGTCTGACGGTCCCCATTTCTAAATACCATAATTTCAGTTTTATTTAAATTTACTTCCATCCAGTATTTTTACAAAATTCATCGACAAACATTTTATTGTTGTTGTATCTAACTGCCGTTCAGCGCAACTTGCAACATCATCAGCAAACATGAGGCAAAATAATATCGTGAATTCTTGAGTAATAAAAATCCCCAGCAGTTACATTTTATCACGAAGCATATGTGCTAATTCATCAATAAAAAGAGCAAAAAATTTGTGGAACTGGATTTGTCCCCCTGCTCGGGTTCCCTCTCCATATGTTACATTTGAAAAATTCAGTTATCATAGGCCTATTCTGGAACTATTTGTGTATCTAAATCACAACAGAAATTATTTCGAACCTTTACACATGAAATAGAGCGAATTATACATTTTCTTTAATAAAAACAAAAAAATCTTCCGTTTATCCTTTTCTTTGTAAAGCTGAAAAAGTATCTTAGGGTTAATCTTATCCAAAGGCCTTACGGAAATCAATGTACAAGCAATAAAATTCTACCCCCTTTTTTGGAAAGATATTTTTGCACCATAGCTTGAAGACAGGAAAACATTATCAATTTGCCCGAATACCCAGATCGAAAACCTGCCTGAGATTCGTCAAACTTATTGTTATTTTCAGCAAATTCATACAAACGCTTATTAACGATGCTTGAAAATATTTTTATATAGTGTATTAATATTAGAGGAAATTCCTCGATAATTACTCGGGTCACAGGTGATCCAGCCTTATGTATAGGACATTATAGCCTAAGACCCCAAGATTGAGGAATTCACCTGTTTCAAAATATTCGATTAAAAATTAAATACTAAAATACGCGTGCAATACTGTTTAAACTTATTCTTCATAAAAATTCAGTATGGTATTCCATCCAAGCCTGCAGCTTTTTCCGTTTGCTAACTTCGAATAGCTAAAACTCGACCTCCGTTTAATATAAATGGTTCGTTTAAGTTGATATATTCATGTATATTTATCAACGGATTGACGTCGTCCATTATATATTCTAAAGGTGATATTATCATTATCAAAACAAATAAACCACGAGAATATGTTATACCAATCATCAGCTCCGCATACTTGAAATCTAATACATTGTTTTTGTTTTGCTTGTTAGTTGTTTCCAACATAAAACATGGATCGTTTCTATTATTAATGAGCTTTTGTCGATTTTTGAGAACTCGGTACTTTGATTTAAAAATTTATTCTTACAATAATTTTTAAATTCATTCCTTTTATTCTTTTATAATTCTTAATTCAGATGCAAGGTGTTTGATGTTCGAAACCGTTCTTAAGAATGAGTATTTCTGTACTTTTAAGTATTTCACAACTTCATGCCCACCAAGGCGGTTGCAACGTGTTTGATGAATAGAAGCCAACATATACACTTTCCACCATTATAATATAAAGGACTGAATAGTTTCAAATAGCTCGGTCAATATCAAACATTTTACAAGACTTGTAATTAGTTGGTCATTCTCTGAAAGTTTAAAGGCAATTTATTTGCTCTACGAAAATGGTCACCATTGATTGATCCCGCCATTTGTACATTTTAAGTTCGATAATGTATTATTTACAACAAATTTGTATTACGATTTCTATCATTTAAATTATAAAATTTTAAACAACAATGCAATGGAAAAATGGTTCCGATTTCAGTTCGATCAAGTACACTAAAGTTACATATATTTCAAACAACTCTGACGAGGCTATCATATAGTCGACAACGGACGCTCCGTTGTTAGAAACGCACGTAAAATTCCCTCTAAATCCCCATTAATTCTTCCATTCAAGAAATGTACATCTAAAACACAGCACAACTGTACTAGTGATTTCCCAAAATTATTTCCCGTAGAACATCTTTACTATTTCGAAGCAGTTCAAAATAACCTACCTTCATACTCAACATCCCCCAAAAACAAAATCCTAAGTATCATATGGAATAAAGTCTCTAAATAATCTTTTCGTTCATAGAATTTAGATCCCCTGCAAGAAATATTAAATTCATTAGGAAATTCTAAAGATATTTCTTCTAAATTTGATTGTTAAATAAAAAATGCCATTTCTTTCCTCCCTGGAATCGTAAATAGACGACCCTTCAGGTGATACATAAACAAAGTACATAATAACATTTTTACACTTGAAAACTTTCGAAAAAATTACCAATATAATACAACACAATTCCTCAAAAGTGTTCTTTATACGTGTAATAATATTCAGTTTATATAAAACTGTTTTTTTATAAAAACGGCAATACCACCGTTATTACGTATGCTATTAGAACGTTGTGCTCTAACATGTTCATAACAGATATAAGATTCTAAAAAGGAAAGCTAAATTCACCAACACACTTTCCCCATGATTCACACAATATGAATGAATATCAAAAGAAGAGAAAAAAAATGTTTAAGTTCAGCATTGTCAACATGTTTACTTAATCCCGCAATATTCCAACTTACAATGTTTATACATGAGTAATCATTGTTTATTTGGCCTTGACCGTATCCCTATTCTATATTAGATGAGTCGGAAGCTTCATCGGACAAACCCGTATCGTTTCCTATTGGTCGGTTTACACAGCGCGGTTGATCGGGATCTACGTCAGCACTCACGTGGTTTCGTACATCCAATTGCTGCGTTACGTGTAAAACATCGCTTGCCTGGCCACGTGGTAAAACACGTGGGCGTGTATTCCTTCGGCAAGCACCAATTGACACAATTGACTGTGTAGTGTCATCGTATTTGTACACAGAATCATTCACTATCAGTTTGTCATACCGAATTACAGCATAGTTACCATTTCGTCGTTCTGTCAACATCCTTTCACCCAGATATTTTCTATGCATTCGGATCTTATCACTAAAGTCCCGTTGAAACTGAATAAGATGTATTTTCTTGAAGCAAATCATTTTGAACGTTGTAATATTTGTTCACAATCCTTGTATTTATTGAATCGTACAAGTATAGTACACTTAGTTGGGTTGTGTGATTTAATCCGATGCGCACGATCGATTTCCTACTGTGTCGGCTAATTTCATGTAAATTTAACGTTTCTTTCAGAAAGGATCGAACTTTCTCCTCAGATGTTGCCCATGCTTCATTTATATTTCCAAGAATTCCATTAAAGCGTAAATTGTTCCTTCGTGATTGGTTTTTCTAGGACATCTAGTTTATTTTTACTTGAGATATTTCTGCTCGTAGCAAATCATTGTCATGCTTTAGCCTTTCATTATCCTGTTTTAACTCGTTAATTGACGAGAATAATGAGTCAATTTTTGAATTCATATCTCCGACTTCAGTAACTAAGCGTTCATTTTGCCTATCAATGTCAGTTTTTCATATTTCTAAGGAAAGTAAAAACATTATCAGAGTCTGTATTACTAGTACTAGTATGAGACTTACTTCGTGCATTTCTAGTATCATTTACCGGTCTATTGTTAGGGGACGCCGCCTGTGAAATGTGTACGAGGATATGGTCCGCTGTCTCGTCACCACACCGTCACGACTCCCGGTACTCGGGGTAAGCACATCAGCATGCCCACTGAATGAACCATCAACCCCTGAATGTCTTTGTTGTCCCTTTCCACGTATCACATCAGGCTTAGGTGGTCCAGGGTTTCTTTCTACATCACCACTCAATAAAATCACAATGGCTACACACGTGCACAGACAAAGTATTCCAGAAAATGACTTTTTCAGCCCTTTTGTGATAACTAGCACTTGAAAACGCTTCACAGATTTAGCGCGAGTTATAAAACATCCAATTCTCATACGCCAAATGTTAATATCCACTCCCATTATTAAATTTTACTTGAAATTTACACGTGTAAAATTTTGACCTGCCGCCATAACAAGGGACGCAACTAACGTAAATGAAGTATCAACTGTGTACAAAGAATTATTTCAATTAACTGCAATCCCAACCAGGATCTTCATATAAACTTGATTAAAAACCAAGTTTCCTACCTACATGTATAGTTATTGTCTAGAAACCATTTTTCTATTTAAGAAATGGTGACCTTGTCCCCAGGGAGCCTAAATGCAATACCAACCAGGGTTTCCACATAAGGTTGTTACATATAATGTATATACCAAATTTGATTACAAAACCTCATTCCAAACTCAAGTTATCGTCCGGAAACCATGATGTGGACTGACGGACGGAGGGACCGACCGGTCTACTCCTATATACAACCCTAAACTTTGTTTGTGGAGGTATAATTAAATCTGCATCATGCTCATCAATGCTTGATTACTATAAAAGGTATGTTGTAAATCAAGCATGTGTGTTATAAACCTAGATAGAAAATGATCTTATTTGACCTGTTGTATTTGTTTATGCCAGAGAAAAGATTCTGATAATGGGGGCACCTGGTGCATTTTTTAAAACGGCTTATATTAAGTTTTTTGATATAGTTACATCAGTGATTTTTTTTTCCAATTTTCAAAACAAGAAGGGGAAAATATAGCGAGATAAATCAGAACTCAAATTCCAACAGCTAAAAATGGAATTTGAACCCACACATTTTATAAAATTTTCAATTTCAATTCAATTTAACATGCATAACAGTAGTCTAATATATCAGATGTTACGGACTTGTTATAGTTTATGTCGGGCAAGCCCGTTGCATTGCCCAAAAGAAAAAATATCTAAAAGCGACTTCATATTTATACGGGGATGTTAAAGCCCGGGGCCAGGAAGCGGCTCCGGGCTTTGGCTTGCCAGGCTATAGACTACACTGTCACATATATATTTAAAAAGGAAAAAAAAAAGACAAAAAATGTATAGAATTCTAAACCTATCAGCGAAATTTTCAGTGTCATTTGTTGTTGGGCGCATTAACGCAATAATAAACGGCGATGTATTTTGATTATAGCCAATCGCAATTTTTTGTGGTATGGTAGTGTAACCGTAATCCAGAACATATATACCGTTCCCGGAAGGTATGAGATTTAGTTCGGGCAAGAGGGCATCCGTACATGGCAAGTGTTTCAATGTAAGCAGAATACTTTATTTTCGACTATCAAGATAACCATAAATGCCGAGGAATTCTGATTGAAAACGGATGTGTAGCGCACTTCTACAGGGATCAAATTAGGAAAAACAACTAGAATAAACGGAAGCAATGTATAAAATACAGAATTATGGCACTTTTAAAACGGAAAATGTAAAATGAAAATAACAGTTATTTTAACTGACTTCCCCGTTCTTAGGCCTTTGCCTAATTTCATATTAGAAATCTACTACACTATTACAGTAACAGTATGAATGTTAGCAAAATTTTAAATTTAAACTGTATCTAATTCACTTGGTTTGAAAAAGCTTACATTTCCAGTAGTTATCTTTTATACTTTTACATTTTGTAATTTCACTTATTTGTTACGCTAACCATACGTTGTCGGTTGTTGGGCTCACGAAACAATCGACTTCAGGATTTTATTTTGTAAGTTGAGTCTGTTGCACTGGACGTACACATCTTTTTCACCTCACGAATAACATATCGAAAAAAAACATTTAAATTAATGATAGGTAGACCTACCTTACTCTACTTCTATATACAAATCATTTTTGGTCTACCGAAAGAAAGTAATGGAAGCTGCCATTTTGAAAATCTTAATCGCGAGACGCTCTGAATTAATCGCAACGTCTCGGCGGACCGTGACTAGAGACTAGGCGGACCATATTATTTTGGGACAGGGGGCGGACCGTCACTCGAGACGAGGCGGACCGTGATTAAAAAAAGTATTTATATGTAGATTTATGTAATAAAAGTATTAAATTATTGATGTTTTTGTTCTTCGTATTAATATTTTTATATTTTTTTTTTATAAAAGTAAAAATATAAAATTAGTTTTAAAAGTTCATGTGTAATTGTATATTAATTGGAAGTGGCTAGCCGTACGGGCCCGTACGGCTAGCCAAAAGTTCTAGCCGTACGTGAGTCACTTACGACTAGCCAGGACACACTGTATTGGCTAGCCGTACGGCACTTTTCAAAAATATATGGAAGGCGGTTCCAAGTGCATATGTTAATTAATTATGACTTAACGCGAGAATTTTAGTCAAGAATGTTTACTTTTTAGAGATTAATCGACGCGTTGACTATAGTAAAGAATGTACTTTGTCATCTCAAGACGTCGAGAAAAAAATAGCGTTTGGTTGCAGTTAAATAACATCAATTGAAATAGTTTACAAAATTTTGATAATAATCCTTTTTTGTTTCATTATGTTTAATTTTTAAATTGTAAAAAAAAAAAAAACACCGAAAATAATTGTTGTTGGGTTCTGATAATTGCGTCAATTACCGTCGGTATAGAAGTTTGTCCATCGTCCATCATTAAGGAAAGTTTGCATTATTAAATTATTTTTCCTTTTCATCGTTTTTTTCTAATATTCTTTTTATTTATTTATTCCCCTCCGATCATTATTTATTCGATCCATGTGCTTAATTAACAGATTTAACAATTCATCTTTCATACAAATCATAAGCATGAAAATTAAGGACGTTATAACATGCAACTTTGACACTTAATTTTAGTAAGATAGATTATACAACGCTTACTCGTATTCATTTTTTTTTTTGGCAAAATTGCGGAGCATCTTTATTAAAGTGAACAAACTAGGACAAATGCGGAGATTTGATTAAAATCGTCGTTTAAAAACACAAAATAACATATGCATTTTCGACTTCCATATATTTTTGAAAAGTGCCGTACGGCTAGCCAATACAGTGTGTCCAGGCTAGTCGTACGTGACTCACGTACGGCTAGAACTTTTGGCTAGCCGTACGGGCCCGTACGGCTAGCCACTTCCAAATTAATTTGCTGATTGAACCATAGGTAATCGGGCGCGTTGATTGGTCACTACCCCCGCACCCCCCCTCCCCCCTCACCCCACACCCACTCTACAGCCCTCCTACCTCTCAAAACCATGTAAAAATACAGTACTTTTCATTTGAAACATGTTTTAATATTTGGTTTATGCTTTTAATTCAATAACCTTCATTTCCTACAAAAAATAAAAAAATTGATACATATATATTTAGTAAACATATATGTATCAATTTTTTATTTTTGTTTTATCAGCTGTGATTAAAACAGAAAATGTTTGGCATAAGAAAAAACTGTTAACAAGTTAACATCGTTCACTGAATGGCATTAATCAACAGGCCGTTTATCAACAGTAGGTGATAATTGCTGTTGACTTAATTAATTTGTTTGCATTTTATATTAAATTTGATTGAAAACACAAGTATATAAGCTAGCCAATAACTTCAGGAAATCACAAATCACTTGTAACCTTTACTGCGTAACAATGCCAAAAAATCCTTGTGTACACCAGAGACATAGATAATATCTATGTCTCTGTGTACACTGTGACAGAGGTGTGTATTCCAACCACCGAGCCGTTGAGTGTGATTCTTGTCATAGATGGCAGCATTTACTGTGTGGAAATACAGGTAAGAAAAATAACAATAATTTGAATGTTTAATATTAATTATTATCATACATTTCAATAAAATATAATTTCATACATTTCAATGAAATATAATTAAGTTTTTTCAATGATTTATTGTGTAAATGATATACTTTATTAAATTAAATAACCTTACATGTTTTTTTATTACATCTTTAATAATTGTAGTTTGTTTCAGGTATTAGTGTAAAGGACTACAGAAAAGCCGTCTACGATGGTAGTGACTTGCCATTTACGTGTATTCAATGCTCGCCAGATGTTGATGAACATATCAGAACTCCAGATAAATCCACCAACAATGCTGAAAGAAATGAACAATTAAGTGTATCCTTAGAAATCCCGGTAGTGAACAACACATCTTCAGATATTTATGACATCGAATATTCAAGGAGTGAAACAATGGACTATAGTTCTGACTCCGATTATGACGTGACCAGAAACATACGGGACGTGGCTATGGATCCACCAGAAACGTAAGCATTAGAATTATAATGATGATCATTTTATATCGTTATATTTTAGTATATTTGTTGCCAGTAATTGTTGCCCGAATCATTAAATAAACGATCCGTAATGAAGACAATAGACATATTTTAAAATAGTTATTTATTTAGTTATCTATATTTAAAAATAATTAAATATCTTGCTTTAATTTCAGAACATTTACAGACGCCGAGACGGTTCAATGGGTTCCACTGAATTCGCCGATCGAGTACGAAATCAACAATGGTTCCCTTGGTGGGAAACCGATTAAGCTAGTGTCATCAGAGGGGTATTCATTTGTGAAGAAACGGACATTTTCGAATGGTTCAATCGACTGGAGATGTAGTGTTCGCCACAAAGGAAGCGGTTGTCTAGCCACAATTAAAGAGCTCAACGGTGTATTCCGTATAACGGGACAGCCACATAACCACGCCTCACAGCCCGGTCTGAACACTGCGGTTCAATTCAAAAGTGAAGTAAGTGATAGTTTAATTTGATTGTTAAAGTATTTTAAAAAGTTAATATATTTCTATACCGTACCGCGGCTTTACCAACTGAGCTATTAAGGCCGCTTACACATTTTGTCCCCTTATTGCATTAATAAGTAAACTTAAAATACTGTCTTGTTTACATACATACAAATGTTTGTTAAAATATAAACGTGCACTTACTTTATTTTCAGCTGAAAGAAGTCTCCAAGACGAAACTATTTGAGTCAGCATCCAGAGATAGTGTCAGACATCTCTAGAAAGCATCAGGCAGCCGATAAACCTCCGTTTTCAAGACCAAGTCAGACGAGTCTTTTGAAACAGGGCCAGACAAAAACTGAGACCAGAAGAACCAGTAACAACAGATTTTGAAGTAAGCAAATAATATACTTATAATTATAAAGATTGCATTTACTCGTACAATAGTTTCTGAAATGTAACGTTAACATTTAGTTCATTTTATCATTTCGTCGCCCTAATTCCATAATGATGTAAGTCGTATTTTTACCATTTTGAGAAAATCGACTTCAAAGTTTTAACAGGCCATCACACAATCTTCACACTTACTCAACCAATTTTAATATAAAATACATCATAGTGTGCAGAATTATTTTAACTTTTACACTTTTAATTACGAAGAAGTTCCTGTAGATAGTTTTTTAAAAAACTAGATTTTGAGGCCGGGTTGTGGCAGGGGTTTTCCACGAGCCGCAAATACAGGGGTGAGCCTTTCATTTTGGACAAGCTTTGTGGCGTAAAGCTCAAGAGTTGGGGTTACAGGTAAACATAATAAAACATTATTTTAAAGCTTTGTATAATTTTAAACCAATTTTACTTTTCTCTACGAAATTATTATTGTCACTCTAATAAGTTTTATAAAAATTATAAATGTAAATAAAAATACACACATCTTTAGATGTTATGGTCAATAAATTTTTCTTTTCTTTCTTTTACAGAGTGCTTACAGCAACAATGATAAGGTATATAAACTGATGAGGAAGACATTCGCGCTCCCACTCCTGCCACATGAAGATATTCGATTTTTTTTATTTCATGTGTCTGTGCTTATTATGTAAATTTTAATAAAATAGTTTTGGACTTATATAATATAATTTTATTTTTATGTCACTTCATTTTTTGTTATTGTGTATAGCAAATAATTTTAATGTGATGTAATTCGTTATCATTGTTATTTCGTGTATTGTACAAAAAATATATGTTTTTATGTGTCTTATTGTTAAATAAAGTTAAAATTTTAGCAGCGTTAGACATTGTAATATCCCGATAATTGGTCAATTATCACCTGCGTAAGTCGACGCAGTTACAAATACTTTCTTGAAAAAAGTATTAACTACTCTAATATATATGTTACATATGTTACTTTGAATTAAATTATTAATACGAAGAACAAAAACATCAATAATTTAATACTTTTATTACATTAATCCACATTTTTTAAATCACGGTCCGCCTCGTCTCGAGTGACGGTCCGCCCTGTCCCAAAATATGGTCCGCCTAGTCTCAAGTCACGGTCCGCCCTGGTACGGTCCGCCCTGTCTCACGGTCCGCCCTGTCCTGCAGTCGTCTCGGTCACGGGTCTTACTAACCTTACTAACTACACTGCTAATAAGGACCGCTTCATATAATTATCTTGTTATTGTTAAGAGGGAACAAATATATCATTATATTTTTTTTTAATTATGAGGTACTTATTTATCTAAAACATCATTTGTCATAGTAAATTTTCATTGTTTTGATCTTCTTTGAATACAGACAAATAGATTAAAGACGTTTTCCTTGGCAAAAAAATTGTATCCATTGACCTTATTGAAGCGGTCCGGACATCAAATTATGAGGAATGTGTACATGAACGTAATATTTTTTTTTTTTTTTTTTTTCTTTCTTTTTTTTTTTTTTTTTATTTCTCTTTATTGTACAATGCAAACAATAAAAGTCATGAAATAATACAATAATACAATACCATGAAATTTGATGTAATAACAATGTTATGAAGTGATACACACAAATTCATACATTTGCAAAGTACTATATGTATTTTCTTATTATATTTTTTTTTAAAAAGGCAAAGTTTACTCTGCACAAACGTTCAATTATTAAAGAGTTAAGTTACAACAACAATAAGTGTCACAATTTTTTTACAGCTAATAATGTTAGGTACTTTCATTTTCATTGATTAAGTTTATGTATTCTTTCCATACATCCTGCATTGTTTCAAACCTAAGCATTTTTTTGGCATTAATTATTTCTGTTTTAACCAAAAATAGTAATTGATTTTTAAAAGCCTCTAAGCATGGCAATACGGACTTCATTTTACATTTGTAAATATAATGTTTTAATAATAATAATATATTATTCTCTGGAACTGTGAATCGGGAACAGCCGAAAATGACAGATTGTTCTGAAAAATGAAAAGATAAATTTGGAATTTTGTTTGTTAACCAGCCCTGCACGTCCCTTATAAACATGTTGACTATGTCACATTCCCAAAATAAATGTTTTATGGTTTCTGGATTGACATTACAAAATGTACAGTTGTCGTTGTCCCTAACATTAATCTTTTTCAGTAATACATTAGTACCTAAAATACGATGCGTTATTCTATATTGAAGCCATAAAAGTTTTGGATCCTTAGTCACTTTAAAGGGTAAAGAGTAGATACTTCTCCAGTTAAGATGAATATTAGAAAAATCATTTTGCCAATTTGTTTCTGATTTTGTCTGACGATTATTATTTTCCAGCACATCGTATAATGCGCAACATCCTTTGCGACTTTTGGTAAGTACTTGGACGGCAATTGGCGATATCGGGTTTTTTACTTTGATATCATTTTGATTTACATGAAAATCCGTCAAAGTTTTTGTGAAGGAACGTATTATACCTTCATATTCAAGAAAGTTTGATCTAACATCAAATAATCTTTGAAATTCTTGAAAACTATAAAACAACCCATTTTCATTTACAAAATCGTTGACAAACAAAACACCTTTTCTTAAGTAGTGTTTAAATTCAAACGATTTTCCTGCAATTTTGAAATTAGGATTTAACCATACCGGATTGGACAAGAAATCTGCCCAATTACCTGAACGAATTTTACATTGAAATAAATAAAATGAGTTCAAAACATCCTTCCAAAACAAATTGTTTACTCTACTTTTATGTTGTAACAAATAGTCACTACCATATTTGGTCGACTGGTAAAGAGCTGGACACAATTCTTGTACCAGAAAAGCATATTTAGTGTTTGAAGATAAAAGTCTTCTTATCCAAGTGATTTTCAAAGCACTGATGAAATGTATTAAGTCAACCGCTCTAAGCCCACCATTACATATATCTTGTGTGAGTTTTATTCTACTTATCTTATCCGGTCCATCATTCCAAATAAATTTGAAAAATACATTTTGTAGGTCTTTAATTACATCAGATTTAGGGTTTGGTAAAGTTAAAAACAGGTTAGTTAATTTAGACAAAGCAAGCGTCTTAATCACTGTGATCTTTCCTATAGGAGAAAGTAATCTTCTGGACCATACTTTCAAAAGAGTCTTAACTTTTATCTTGGAAGGATAGTTAAGATCACTTATAGATGTAATATTTGTTGATAAGGTTACTCCCAATAATTTAAATGGACCTTTGTCCCATTTAACACCGATTTCCGGACATAACTCTAAATCGCTATTTCTCATTGCACCTATCCATAACGCCCTAGTTTTGTGATTGTGACATCAAATACTCTATACCCTTAATTTTGATACCTTCGATATTATTCTTTTTTTTTATAAGTAAAGCTAGAATCTCCGCGCACAGGACAAAAATATACGGTGACAGGGGGTCCCCTTGTCTACAACCTCGAAATAAGGGGAACCAGTCGGAGAGGTGGCCATTAACAACAACAGATGATTGCATATTTGTATAAAATAGTTTTACCCATGAAACAATAGAGTCACCAAAGTTGAAAAATTTCAGAACCGAAATCATAAAGTCCCAAGACACGGAGATGAACGTAATATTGATGTGAATACAAAATGTACAATATTTTTTCAGATTGTTAGTTGTCATGATAACTTAATTAAATACATATAGATAGCAAAGTTTATTCAATCAAATTCCAAGTTTCTGTCATTAAGATATAATATTTTAAACATAAATATTTTATAAAGTTTAAAAAAATATATTTTAGTTGAATGATCACAAATAATTTGAATGCATAACTTTGATAAGATCAATTAAGTTATGTTATGATATTTAAATCATTTTAAATCGCATACTCTGTTCGTTTACGTGGCTTGAAACGGCTTGTGATTTTCAACACTTTTAATTTTATTGTATCTAATCTCTTTTCATATCATTTTTACGGGTTTCAGCCGAATGGATTTCACTGAACTAGAGCAAGATTTAACACAACCTTGGTGTTTTTCTTTACTATAAAATTTAAAGAAAATATTAAAATGAAATGGAGCTTACATATTCTTTTAGTGTTGCAGATATTATAGTTTTCTTAGCAAGTGTAAGTGTTTGTTTAGTTATAGGCATCATTTTTGCAATATGTGATAGAAAAAGAAACACAGTTAACAATTACTTCTTAGCAAACAGAAAGTACCATCCTGTACCTGTAGCAATCTCTATGGTTGTTACGTTTTGTTCTTCATTAGGTATGATTGGATTTCCAGCGGAGGCTTATGCCTATGGATTTGGAATTGCATACTTTGCCATCGGAACACTAGCTGCGTATTCCGTCAACGCTATTTTCATAGTTCCAGTTTTCCATCCGCTGAAATTAACAAGCGTATATGGATATTTCAAACTCCGTTATGGGGATAATATTTTGAGGAATATAACATTATCCGTTGGAATAATTTACAATTTATTCTACATGGCAATTATAACAATCGGTACAAGTATTGCAGTAGATGTAGTTATTGGAATTCCATTCTGGGGAACATTTCTATTATTTGCTATTTTGACATCCATATATACGTCGGTAGGTGGAATAAAAGCCGTCATATGGACTGATGTTTTCCAATTAGGCGTTATGATAACCGGAGTTATTGCCGTCTTAATCAAGTCAGTTATTGATGCTGGTGGATCAGAAAAGTTACTGGAGTATTCCAAAGGTCGACTTAAGACAGACTTTAGATTTGATCCAACGATTCGTTATCAAATTTGGAATGTGTCCTTTGGTTCTTTTAGCACGTTGCTGTATTTGAGCCTTACTCAGCAAGCAATGCAACGAGTATTTGTGACACCATCGATAAAATCAGCCAGAATTATGTTTTTCATTTCTGCTCCAATTTTTGCTCTGTTCATGGTTTTAATACCATTGCAAGGTGTAACAATATTTGCATACTATTCGGCTCAAGGTTGTGATATTTTAGAATCGGGCCTCATAAAAAATGTGAACGAGATTATTCCAATAGCTGTCTTGGAACTTTTTAAAGATCAGCCTGGTCTTGCTGGATTATTCACAGCTGCTTTGTCAAGTGCTGCACTCAGTTCGTTGTCATCATGTCTAAGTAGTCTATCAGCGGTAACGTACGAAGATATACTGAAGGTGAAATTCCCTCGTATGCAACCAGATCGGTACATAAAATTATCTAAGATTATAGTTTTGATTTATGGCCTAGTTACAATAGGACTTGCATTTGCCCTTTCTACTTTGCCAGGATCTATTGCTTCGATATTCTTTAGTTTGATGGCGTGTGTTGATGGACCAATATGTTCAATATTTCTGTTGTCGATATTTTACAGCAGGTCATCAACAAAAGGTCTTGTAACGGGCGCTTGTTGTGGAATGGCCGTCACTGTATGGCTGAATATAGGAAGCAAGCTCACTGATGCACCACCATTTCCGCGCCTTCCGCCCGGTCCGACAAACCAATGCTTTATATATTCAGATAAATATTTTCCGATGGCAAATATAACACAAATATTAATTCCAATTGAAAACATTACATCTTTTATAAGCTCACAATCAACTCCATCGTCTTCAAGTAGCACGGCTCCAGACAACGGTCAACAATTGACATTCTTACAAAATGTTTACAGTATATCTTACATTTTCTTCTCATTTATTGGATTGATGACGTCACTATTTGTAGGAATTATTCTAAGTGTTTTCACGAAGCCACCTGAACATTTAAACAGACGCTGTATGTTCTCATTTAAAACGCACGTTCTAGAGGAAATATGTGGAGACCGTCTTGATAACACAGTAGATGTAAGCAAGAATGTTAAGCTTGATAGAAATGAAACATTACAGTTCTTAGAAAAGGACGAAGAAATGTAAGAAGATAATTTCAAGATGTATGTCTTTTTCATAGACGAATTTACTGATACAATTGTTAATTTCCTTTTTTGTTTTGTATTTGTTTTGTTTTGTATCTTAATGTATACAATATTAGGACTTGCTTGTCTGAATAAGAATAATATTCTGTATAATACAAATGTTTTTTGTTCAAATACTGTACCTATGTAAAAAATTCATGTGTGTTATGTAACAGTGATTCAGGATTTTAAGATAAGGAAAATATTTAGAATGGGTTAAACGCATAAAAACAAACTAATACCTTTTATAATTCCTTCGAAATTAGAACTGCCACAAATCTGACAACGATATTCTTGAACGCGACTTTTTTTAATAGGGTATACATTTTGACTTAAACTTTAGTCCAACTTATAAGACTTGTCAAAGATACATTACGAAAATTGTTTGGGCAGGCTAATTCATCAAGCAATTTCTTGTTTATACATGACTAAAGATTGGAAATAAGTACATTTTTAATATCAACAGGGTCCTTTTAAAATAATTACAAGATCTAGTTTTTTTAACATTTTGTACTCATTTGTTGCCACAGAAACAAACCACCCTTCTCAACACAGGATTTGCATAATCTCCATATCACCATTTATAGATGTTTCATGTTTTGAAAATATACATCTGTTGTTCTAGCAACCACATAGCTCAAAACGCGAAGAACATCAAATGATGCGCAAAATCTCCATACCCGTATCTGTATACTATCTGTCCATGATTCAAGTCATTTATCACGGATTAAGTGTTCCACAAGTCCGTTTGTAACAGTCTTTCTTATATTATTTTACTTCCGTCAAAATGACGAAAGGCAAACGTTATTATATTTTTATCGGTCACTATAGAGAGGAAGCTGATTATCCCCATAGTAAAACTAAGTAATTTTCTTTATATAATGTTATTGCTGTTTTACACCAAACAATCGGACACCTCGAGTAGAAAGCAAGACATGGGCACTCGACCCCAATATATTTACTTTTAGTAAAAGGGTCTTTGCTCACTCTTCTAAAATCAAATAAATCATAATAAGTTTGCAAATCCAAAATTTGTGCAACTCAACTACTATTTGAAACTCAGTTTCAATACAAAACAAAATTGCATGTTTAATCAAATGCTATGTCACTACATTAATTCAACACTAGATACATGTAGTAAGAACAGAAGGTTATTTTTGTTTTGTTTTCTATACAATTGAACTTTGCCATAATGTAGGAATGTCTAGTGACTTTGGGGGCCAAGGTCATATTTCAGCATTTCAAATGAAAGACAATGTGCAGATGTATCTAATGTTTAGATACAAAGGCAAAGAAAACAGTGAAATAAATGATTCAAAACAAAAATATTCTTACTTAATAAAATTTTGGTATTTACTCTACATGTATTACAAAGCTGTATTAAACTTTGAAATACAGTTAGTTATTTTTCCTAAATACTATCTTTTTAATACTATCTTTTCAATAATGCATTACCTAGCTATTTCTGAAAACAAAAAAAAACTGTTAGGATTTAAAATCATCATTATAAACGTGTACATGTTCACATGGTGTGAAACAAAATTTCCGATCATTTCTCTTGCCAGAGGTCATGACCTCAAATCATTTCATGAGATTCCCGAAAAGCAAACATCTTTCTTGCTAGAGTTGAAAAACGAATTTTGGTTTATCATACTGAAAAATGAATAATATTATCAATATGGTTCATCAAACATCATTTACGTCGAATGTTTATTAACCGTAATTATATACATGTATATAGTAATCAAACAACCCACCAAACCGAAACCTCCTAGGTAGAACATAAAATAAACAACGAAAAGATGATGTTTGGTGTTAATCATGACTGTGTATGAAATCAACGTTTAATCAAAATTCTAGAATTTGATATCAATATGTTTATATTCAGAGAGGTTATCCACCTTAAAGTTACATAGCATTTCTTCCTCGTAAATGTAATTTACGAAAATTTATATACATTATATATCCAGAAAGAACAAATCTCCGATCGAAAAAACGAGCACGCCATGCGGAAATCTATAAAACCCTACAAACTACAAATGTAATACATAAACGTATTTGCAACTGAATCAGACAAATGGTTAGCTCGAGAAAATGGTGTATTTTACGAACATGTATTCACTTTATATACAGAAAGAGAAAATCGCCGGTCAAAAAGAAAGAAAAAAAACACAACAACAACAACAACAAAAAAATACAAAATAACCCCAAAAAACACATAACAAACGACCCGAGAAAATAGTGTACTTTACGAAAATTTGTACACTTTAATATATACAGAAAGAACAAATTTAACCGACGGTCCCAGAAAACGACCATGCCACGCGGAAACCTCCCGAACATATTGCTTCTGTTAGGTCTTTGTGCTTATACTGTGCAAAGAAAGCCCACCAAACTTATATAAAAACGCATTTTCAATGGAATCAGACAAATAGTGTTTTCACGATTGGCTCGAGAAAATAGTGTATTTTACGGAAAGTTATATACTTTAATTACAGAAAAAAACAAATCCACGGCCCAAAGAAACGCTCATGACACGTGGAAATCTCCATGACAAACTGCTTGCATTCGGGCTTTTGGCCTTATACTGTGCCAAGAAGACACTCCAAAGTAATAGTAAAACGCATTTTATACGGAATCAGACACATGGTGTTTTCACGGTTGGCTTGAGAAAATGGTGTATTTTACGAAAAATGTATACACTTTATGTACAGACGGTCCAAAAAATACGATCATGCCACGCGGAAATCTCCCGGACATATTGCTTGTGTTAGGGCTTTGAACCTTACACTGCGCATCAAAGACCCTCCAAACTAATACAAAAAACGCAACGGTAAGTGAATCAGACTAATGGTGTTCGATAAAACGGTGTATTTTACGAAAATTTATACACTTTCTATACAGAACGAACTAATTGCCGATCAAATAATAAAAATAATAAAAAACAACCATGCCACACGGAAATCACACGGACATATTGCTTGTGTTATGGCTATGGGCCTCTATTAACTATAATACAATTACTCAATTGTGTCGGAACCAGACAAATGATGTTTTCACGATTAGCTCGAGAAAATGGTGTATTTGACGGAAATTTAAACAATTCATATGCAGAAAGAACAAATCACCGGTCTCAAAAACGACCATGCTACGTGAAATATCCCGACCATATTGATTATGTTAGGGCTTTGGGCAGTATACTGTGCAAAGAAGACACTCCAAACTAATAAATAAACGTATTTTCAACGGAATCAGACGTAATGTGTTTTTACGGTTTGCTCGAGAAAATGGCGTATTTTAATTTAAGAAAATTGCTACACTTTATATACATTTTATAAAAGGGACGGACCGCGCACAGCTTCTACGTTGTACTATTAAGTTTAGTGAAAATTTAAAGTAAACTGTCAGTTGTAAACCATGAATAATTTGAATGTTATTTGTTTTTAATTCTGAATAAGCATATAGACAGAGTGCAAAGTTTATTCAATACAAATTCCATTTTTCTTATAAAAATGTTTTACATGTATTTGAAGCATAAAACTTTTTATAAAGTTAAAGTAAAAAAAATGTTGGTGAATTATCAGGAGCCATTTAGATGAATAACTTTGACATTATGATCAATTAAATTATGTAATGATATTCTTAATCCTTTCATCCCATTCAATGCATAACTGCAACGGCTTGTGATTTTCAACACTTTCAATTTTCTTTTATAAAGTCTTTTTCATATAATTTTTACGGGTTTCAGCCGAATGTATTTCACTGAGATATAACAAGATTTAAAAAGAGCATGCTGTACATATTCGTATAAAATTAAAAGAAAAAAATGAAATGGAGCTTACAAATTCTTTAAGTGTTGTAGATTTAACAGTTTTCTTAGCAAGTGTAAGTGTTTGTCTTGTCATAGGCATCATCTTTGCAATATATGAAAGAAAAAGAAATACAGTTATCAACTACTTCTTAGCAAACAGAAGGTACCATGCTGTACCTGTAGCAATATCTATGGTTGTAACGTTTTGTTCCTCATTAAGTATGATTGGATATCCAGCGGAAGCCTATGCTTATGGATTTGGAATTGCATACTTTGCAATCGGAACACTAGCTGCGTATTCCGTCAACGCTATTTTCATAGTTCCAGTTTTCCATCCACTGAAATTAACAAGCGTCTACGGATATTTCAAACTCCGTTATGGGGATAATATTTTGAGGTATACAACATTATCCGTTGGAATAATTTACAATTTATTCTACATGGCGATTATAACAATCGGTACAAGTATTGCAGTAGATGTAGTTATTGGAATTCCATTCTGGGGAACATTTCTATTATTTGCTATTTTGACATCCATATATACGTCGATAGGTGGAATAAAAGCCGTCATCTGGACTGATGTTTTCCAATTAGGCGTTATGATAACCGGAGTTATTGCCGTCTTAATCAAGTCAGTTATTGATGCTGGTGGATCAGATAAATTACTGGAGTATTCCAAAGGTCGACTGAAGACAGAATTTAGGTTTGATCCAACGATTCGTTATCAAATTTGGAATGTGTCCTTTGGTTCTTTTAGCACGATGCTGTATTTGAGCCTTACTCAGCAAGCAATGCAACGAGTATTTGTGACACCATCGGTAAAATCAGCCAGATATATGTTTTTCATTTCTGCTCCAATTTATGCGCTATTCATGGTTTTAATACCATTGCAAGGTGTAACAATATTTGCATACTTTTCGGTTCAAGGTTGTGATATTTTAGAATCGGGCCTTGTACAAAATGTGAACAAGATTATTCCAATTGCTGTCTTGGAACTTTTTAAAGATCAGCCTGGTCTTGCTGGATTATTCACAGCTGCTTTGTCAAGTGCTGCACTCAGTTCGTTGTCATCATGTCTAAGCAGTCTATCAGCGGTAACGTAAGAAGATATACTGAAGGTGAAATACCCTCGTATGCAACCAGATCGGTACATTAAATTATCTAAGATTATAGTTTTAATGTATGGCCTAGTTACAATAGGACTTGCATTTGCCCTTTCTACTTTGCCAGGATCTATTGCTTCGATATTCTTTAGTTTGATGGCGTGTGTTGATGGACCAATATGTTCAATATTTCTGTTGTCCATATTTTACAGCAGGTCATCAACAAAAGGTCTTATAACGGGCGCGTGTTGTGGAATGGTTGTCACCATATGGCTGAATATAGGAAGCAAGCTGACTGATGCATCATCATTTCCGCGCCTTCCGCCCGGTCCGACAAACCAGTGCTTTAAATATTCAGATCAATATTTTCCAATGGCAAATATAACACAAATATTAATTCCAATTGAAAAGATTACATCTTTAATAATCTCGCCTTCAACTATATATCGTCTTCAAGTAGCACGGCTCCAGATAACGGTCAACAAATGTCATTCCTAAAACATATTTACAGTATATCTTACATTTTCTTCTCATTTATTGGATTGATGACGTCACTGTTTATTGGAATTATTTTAAGTGTTTTCACGAAGCCACCTGAACATATAAACATACGCTGTATGTTCTCATTTAAAACGCACGTTCTAGAAGAAATATGTGGAGACCTGTTTCATGACAGAGACGATGTTAAGTTTGATAGGAATGAAACATTAAATTTCTTAGAAAAGGACGAAGTAATGTAAGAAGATAATTTCAAGATGTATGTCTTTTTCATAGCTTCTTTAAAATAAACGAATTTATTGATACAATTGTTACTTTCCTTTCGTTTTGTATCTAAATGTGTGCAATATAAGGACTTGCTGGTTTAAAATTACAAATAATTATGAATTATATTTCATTATAATACATAATATGTTTTGTCTAAATACTATGACTCTGTAACAATGTCACAGGTTTATCGTTAATTCAGGGTTTTAAGATAAAGAAAATCATTGGAATTAGTTAAACGCGTGAAAAGGGAAATAACATCTTTTATAATTCCTGTATATCAAATAAAAATCAAAGCGAGATAACACGATACACTTTTACATTCAATGAAGTTGCTTTAATTAATTTGGATAAAAGCATTTATTTTTACATAATATCATAATTATGTCTTAAAGAAAAAAAAAAAACAAAAAAAAACCCCATCATATATCTGCGGATAAAATGTTTTGATCTTTATAAGGTATATCATAAAAAAGTCTTTGTATAAGTTTTATGAATGTATATTGTTTTACTTGACATTATAACCTCAGTATAACATACTATTAATATTATTCAATAAAACGATTGCAGTTTAGATCAATTTCGTCCACAGTTCCCCGCGACAAAAATGAAGAACGGATGTTTCGTGTGGCATAGAATTGTTTTCATTTATTCGTCCGTTAAATTTGCTTCTTTTTTCCGACATTTCTGTTTGCCGGTAAAGTGCCCCATATAGAATAATTATTCCCGGTCATTTTTAACAATTGTAATTACTTTTCTGGAGAACGGAATGAGCGAATGATCTGAAATTTTGCACACAAGTTATTGTTCTAGACCTATATCAAATGGAGTTTTAATCTCGAAAAATTATTCCCAGTCCCATCGTGTAAATTACCTCATTAATTAAAATTAATAAACGGTTTTTAATTCAATTGGGATGTAAATAACAAATAAAAGAAACAAACATGCCGGCATAGTTTTACTTAAAAACAAAATCTGTACAGAAATATACATATATTTTGTTAAAAACACGAATCATTTAAAGCAGAGGATAAAATTTAAATTTGTATTCTTTGTTAACAGAGGCTTACCTCTGGCGAGGTTTGAACCCATACTAGTGTATATATATACGGCCAGCAATCCTTAGATCACTAGTCCGACTCATCATTCACTAGCTCACACTGTTGCATTTTTATAAAACATTCATATAAGATAATATAAATGGTTATGTTTAAAAGCAGGCAATCACTTTAGAAATAAATGCTTTTCTCTCAAACTTGATCATGTCAAAGCGAAATGATAAAAGAATATATACATATGATTTAAGATAGAATACCTCTTATACTTTGTCCATAGCCACGGAGCTACATGGATCAGATTAAATTCGGAAAGGAACGTATTTTCCAGGATTGGAAAATAGACGAGTTAAAAGCTGTAACTCTCCTCGTAAAAAAAATGCAGAAAAAAGGGTAATATGTATAGTGTCAGTTCAGAATGTGGTACTCTTGTAATAATACAAAACTTAAACGATTCCCTTACCACATGGACAGAATAAACCATTCCCTCACCACAATGACGGAATGACACTGACGGACAGCAAAACGTGAAAAACCGGTTTTTAATTTGGGCCTTGTACTTAGTTATCAAAGGTATGTGGAAGATTGTGTAGTGATTCTATGTTAAGAAATAAAGGTTTTTTAAGTAGTATGTAATGCTCGATCGGTCAGTTTGGTTTTGACTGTCAGCTGGCACGAGAGTTTATTCAAAAGGGAGAAAAATGTAGCTATTCTGGTATACATGGCCTATTGTGATATACATTAACTGCGCATGATTATCTTTAGAAATGCTCAAATGTTTGTCACTTAATATAACTTATCAGCTATTTAAATTGCCATGTCTAACTTTACTTTAAATTGATTTATGTAGTACAATATGAACAAAACTAAGAAATAGGTTTCAAAAATGAAAATATTCCCTATATCTGAAAAATTGAAAATAAAGATAGTGACATGAACCTGAATGACAAGCATATTGGCTATGATATTGAAATGGACCAAGACATGAAGATGGACTTTGACAATGGAAAATGTACTATAAAATCGACATGGACTATGGCATGAACTAGGAATATGACACCGACAAGGACCTTTTTGATAGTTGTACGATTCAAACTATACCTATATATGGCTAGTATGGGCATTAAACGTTACTGGCCCATTTCTGACCCGGTGTACAACAGTCAATGTATTTATTTTTTGAATGAATAAAGATTAATTACTTTTACATGTTGTGTCATTTGTAAAAATATAAACTAATACCTGTACACTTTCATGTAATTGATCTCTTCAGAACACGGCTTTTATTTCGGTATCTGTATTATTCGTTAATCAATATAGTTTAAATAAATCTTTTAAAAGGCGCATTAGACCAATGCTGAGCTGTCTGTCATAAAAAAAACTCTGTCAGCCAAAACGTTAAGTCTGCATACATGTATTTTGTGGCAATTTGTTATTCATACAATCGGGTTAGTAGATGACCCATTCAAAGATGCAGATTCAAGTGTCTGCATGATACATAGATAACAAGTCTATAAAAAGGACCTTTAGTAGAGCTGCTGGTCAGTTACAAGCGCTTTTAATGTGATGATGATGAACTACCCGTTTGTTTTCCTTCTTTAGCAAGAGCCATTAATAAGCCTTTTCTTCACTGTATAATTCTTTACATTCATGCAGTTTCCACCTTCACATTTTGTAAAAATCCATATTATTTTTCTAAACGGAAGTGCTCCTTTCAATGTCAGTGAGGAAAGCCCTGATTAAAATGTGTTATACATAATGTTTATATATACTCGGGGTCAGTATATTTAAGTGTCTGCACGATACACAGTCTAGACAAAAAGGACCTAAGTAGATAAAGACCAAACTTTTTACCAGAATTCTGTACTTACTACAAAGAAAACTGAAGGAGAAATTTCGAGAACCTGAGAAATGTTCGGATTTCAGAAGTTTCCGGATTTTAGAAGTTCCGGAATTCGGTAGTTACACTGTTTAACATACAAAAAACCTCTGCTTAATGAAATTTAGACCTATTATTATTTATTTAAATCCACATTCAATAGTGTGTTGCTTATTTATTTCTGATAATTCACATGATGATAAATATAGTATTTTTCCGTACATTTGGTATTATTATTATTATTTGGTCAAACTATTATACTTTCATATTGATATAAATAGCGGTCTCTTTCTCATTTAAGTTTGAAATGTCCTCATCTTTTTTCGAGTTCTCTACATGAAGTTCACAGTACTGGTTTTTGTCCTTCAATTCGTCTTCCAATTTATCATAAGTCACTTCCGATTCATTTGCTCTTTCTACTGAAACAAAGTTTGATTCGTGACTTTAACAACAAAAACAAGGAATTCTACCTTAATTACAGGTCGAAATTTCAAAAAACGCATGCAATTTCTTTTTCAGAATATGGCATGCACAAATTTAAGTCAATGATGAAAACATTTTTGACTTTTAGATTATCATGAATTATTACCTCTCTTGTATGATTCATAATTAGTTGTGTCCGTCTGCAGTTGATTCATTTTTATCTTTTCGTATTCATTTTCTAGGTCGTTATTTCGAGTGCTTGAATCTAGATATTGAAACAATAAGAAAGTGTCATTGCTTTTTATTGACGCGCCAAAAGTCTGTATATCGTAAATGGACATACGTCGCATTGTTATTACACCAGTTTAATATCGCTTTTTAAAACGGATTTAATTTAATTCACTCTTGTGGCTTCGTTTTGTAATGAAATGAAATAATATTATCAACATTCACTTTGTTATGATTAAAACACATTATGCACATACACAATTGATGTAAGGTATTAATGGGATGACTACATCTCATACATGCCTATGACGGGATGAATCAACGGAATCAATTGTTCAGAAATCAATCAAAATATATATAGCTAGGAATATGGAGTTTTTTCATGAAAAAGGGTTTTAATACTAACTTAAATATGTAATTATAACTCGTTTATTTTCATTATTATATTGTTTTGATAAATGATGCACAAAAATTTGTTTTCTCAAATTTAAAGAGAAGTCAATATCACAAGCATATCTTACCTGTTACATTCTGATACAAATTATTGGAAACCATTCCATGGTTTTGCTGTTTATTAAACAATCCACTTAATACTGGAAAGTATCTAATAAATAAAAAAAAAGAAAATATTTTGAATATCTTTCATTATCAATATGTTAATATGTAAACTCCATATAAATATTTTTAATTTCTTCTACCTGGACACAGTATTGAAAACTCATACATTTACCATTCTATTATGATGTTAAAGACAAGGACTTAAAATCGTTGTGATATTTTGGTAATAAGCACACCAGTCCTCCGAATTGATACGATTTTTATTTTTCAAGAACTTTTCATCAAATATTTTGTATGGGAGTCAAAATACTACATTTTTTGCTACCTAAATGGCACAGTACTGCATATTCAGAGCCACTTTGATAATTGTTGAACAACTAATGTGCTCAAAAACCATTTTTAGAACCTGAGAATGAAGAAATGATATATTTCTGACATAACTTGTCTTCTTTGGTAGAATTGCTGCTTCTTCTGTTTTATGTGAAAATTTAAGATCGTTCAGAAAGGTATCTGTGCTTAATGATATTTCCACTAACGCGCTCATAATTGCATGGAAACGAAGTATCAAATACATGTAGCTGTAGGTCAACTTTGTCAATATTAAAAAGAAACTGATATGCTTGTATGAAAGTATGAATTTAAAGAAAAAAAAACAACAAATAAAACCATAACCTTTTCCTGTACAACATAATGCCAACAACTATTACAAGAGTAATGATGAATATCATTAAAGGTAGTCCAACAATGAGTCCGTAATTGTAAGATGGATTTCTAGGTTCGGGATCAGAGGATTCAATTGCTATAATAATATAGAAAGAACATCTTTTCACACCTTATTATATATATTTCAATATTATGAAATAATTCAACACAAAATGCAATTACAAATAGAATGAAGTGGGCAATAATACATCTTTACATCTCTTAGAACATTGCATTGTGGTCTATATACAAAGTATCATTCATATTTATGATAATCTATTAAGTCAGTTTATAATACATGACTGCAGCATTAATATAATTTTTATAAAGAAGTAACGTCAAGAAAATCAAAGAAATAACATAAACATATTCATATTTACAAATCTTCAAGACGAAAAAAATGACCAACATATTTTTTCTGCTTCTCAGTTTGATGACTGAGGTGGCCTTTCCAGACACATTATGGTATGCTCTTTCTTCAAATAAGTGTCAAAAATTGAGCCTTTGATACAGTACACCAGCATCCTGTTACCATTACTTGTTGCCCTAGGCCATCAAATACGCTAAGGGACTACCATAGACTCCCAGGTTGTCAATGTAAACAATTTCATTCAGTTTTCCTGATACTTTCGCAGTATACTAGTTCCCTTGTTAGACATACGTTTACACATTATCACATTACAACCATTTTGATACATTTTGTTATATTTCGGTGGTCAGACCATCAAACTAAATTTCCTAAATAACAAACCAGAAATTAAGAAATTAATAATTTCCAACTACTAAAATTCTAGAAAAGGGGTGATCCCTCGGAAGCAATTAAACAACAATATTATATGAAAATTGAGTTGATTAAGACAAGATAAGATTTTTTATGTGAAATAATGTAATAGTTTAACATCTCTCACGCACCTAAGCACAAGCTTTAGCGGTATAATACCATATGATTTCTAAATCAGTTATGAGACTTGATGTCCGATATCTATTGTCACGGAGAACTAGCGACTTATGGATTACATATCTAATTATCTTCTTATTTAGCTTAACGGGCAGAAATGGGTAAAAAAAGTCCGGTTAAAGTTTTTCATGCAACCTTTTACGTACATAACTGTCATATGTATTGATAATTTACTTGCAAGAACTTGCGAACACAAGTAAATGTAAGTTGAAACACACATAAAGACTACCTGTAAAATCTTGAGATGTCCATTCATGAAACTAGTACTTTTATGTTAGTGCTGGCCAGTGTCAATTGCATAGTTGGAACGTGCAAAAAGATAATAAAATCTGTTTAAAACTGAATATAAAACTAATCCGAGTGCATAGATTTTAACTATTTTGAGTGTCATTGAAAGGTGTAAATATGTATAAATTGATGTTACTTTTTTGTTGTTTTTTGTTAAAACTTCTTCTACAAATGTTAAAGACATTAATACTTTACTTTTTTCTAGGATATTTCTGAAATGGATAAATTCTTTGCATATCAATAAAACTGAATCTTTCAAAAGATGTAAAGGTATTTATGGATGGTTATTTTCTAAATAAAAGTATATACATAATATTAAGATCTGTACACATAAAAATCGTCTGTCAAGTGATTTTCAGAAGTTCAATTCATGTATCTCGAACATGTCACACAATTTTCTTAAATCTTATATATACGTATATTTATACTCGTATAATAAGTGTAAATAAAAACAATTGATTAAAAATCATTGTCAATATTATTTCGTTAATATTGATTTTGATAATTTAGTTGTTGTTGACAATATTACCAAATTTAGTAATAATATACCTGGAGATTCCACATGGAAAACGTGTTCAAACACTCCATATTCATTTCTAATTGTCAGTCTGTACTTGCCATAATCGTCGTCTGAAACACTATGAATTGTAAACTGAATGTCCAAACCTGTATTAGTAATTTCAAAGTTGTTGCTTTTATTGACAGATACCCAAGAAAGTCCGTTATATTTGTTAATCAGAACGTTTGTTGGTTTAGGATATGCCAGCACCGTGAAGTTAATATTCATAGCTTCATTTCTTGAAATTGTTATCCTTCTTTGTAATGGAGCTTTCGGATCTTGCCTAGGTGAGCCTTAAAAAATAATAAATATATTTTGATATTCATAAACTGTTTTCCCTCTGAACTTTTATGCTATTATTTGAATCTTGAATGAATTCGAGAGACCAATGCAGTGACTTAAAGGAAACAAAGATGGAAAGAAAATGAAAGACAGCTAGAGAGACGTCATTGCATTTAGATTTGCCTATGTTTCGCTATATAATTCATAAATTGTATGTAACCAGTTGGAACATCCAGTTTTCCAAATGAAAGGTTTATATTTTGATAGCATTGTTTTACCCAACATTAAATTATGCTGCAAAATTGTGGGGACATCACGCAGATCCAAATATAGAAATTATACATGCAACGTTTTGTTGATTGTTGTTAGTGTCAAGCAATCAACTAATGTAGATGTGTTATATAGGGCACTTGGTCGAATACCAATGTCCATTCATAGAAAACTAATATTGATCAAACACTGGTGAAATTACTTTAACTTAATGAACAAACTATATTGTACAAACTTTATATTAAGATAAAAACCGATGCTGACAATGGCGTAACCAATAGTGGTAAAACTTGGGCATATACTATCAATACTTTTTAGAGCAGACTGTCGTGTTTTATAAGTGAGAAAATCAGTTTACTATGCATATAACATTATCAAACAACGAATTTTAGACATATTCTACAATGCTGGCATTCTTCAATTTATATAACTCGTCTAGATAAGATACATATTGTTTATTGCAACACCACTGATTTGAACATGAAAACTATTTGGATATTATCGTTGAACCGAAATTTAGGGTAGCACTGTCTAAATTTCGTTTGTCTTCTCATGATCTTGCTATTGGACGTGGACAGCAAAGGAATATACCAATACAGCAAAGGAATTTACCAATAAATGAAAGCTTGTGTATAAATTGCAATGCCGGTCTTATAGAAAATGAATATCACATTGTATTAATATGTTCTAAATTCCAGGCCTAAAGATCAAAATATATAGATTTATTACTAAACGAGGCCATTTTAACAGAAATTTATTAACCTCATATGTGCAAAATCTAAATCAATGATTTATAATTAGGTTAAATAAATATACTATGTAACTTGCATGACAACTAGTCATTTTAACTGTAATGCTATTAGTACAGATACATATACCATACATACATTGCTCTCTACTGTAATTCATGTCTATGTAATTATTGCAATGGAACATGTTATTTTAATATAAATGCAATAAAATATTTGTAGCTGTAGAATAAAATTGTACGCACATGTTACAAAAAGTGTAATATTCCTTTCAGAAACTCGTTCGTGTTTTATAACATTGGTACCTCTGCATGTATATACTCCTTTATGGATGCATGTCGCTTGAAAAGTTGCAGAATATATTGTATAATTTTCATAAATAGTCTTTGTTACATCCAGTTGGTCTTGACTGAAAATCCTCCCTTCGGGGACTGGATTGCCCTCAATTTCGCATCTCAAATTCACTGTGTGGTTTTCTGCAACTGTTACGGTGTCATTTCTGCTGTAATTAACGACTACGTAATTCAATATTGAAACTTGATCTGCAACATAAGAAAATACACTTTTTAATAAAACGTATTAAAGTAGAATTAAGGATACAACAAAAGTGTAATATCAACAATTATGTTTTTAAGGTTCTATGCCATTTGTTTCTTTGTCAATAGGTATCATGCAGGTCGAGGGAATCCTACACAATACCATACAACGTATTTCTTCATAATATACATGTATTGTATTTACTTAAACATACTTATATCACGCGTACTTTAAGAACATCTAACATTTCTAAAATTACATATCTCAACTTAAAATTATATAATTCAATCAGTCCAATGCACAACATTATATATATAGTTTTAACCAAAAGGAAAGCAATTTTGAATTAAATGAGAGACATTTTTGCACATATGATGTGTTGGTTGTTTGTACTTCCGGCTATCTGTGCTTTTACTTTGTAAACATAGTAAGTGATTACTGGGGATCTGTTTTGGGAGACAAAAAGGACTTCAGTTCGTATAGAGAATTGTTAACTATTCTGAAATATAGCTTTCCTTCTGAAATGTATGAATTGGTATCTAATATATTGTTGTGCTTTCCTACTGCTTGGTACTCTATAGTTCTCAACATATCATTTTGGAAAAAGAAATGGAATATCAATGCAATTGTATTAAAATCTTTTTAACATAAGATAAAGTTGAGTAGTATTCTAAAATTGCCATTCCTTTCAAAAACAAAAAAATATTAGATCTAGTTTAGTTTAAACATAGTTTATTTCGAACAAATTCACAATACAAACATGATATGCTGAAAAAGGATTGGGTCCGAAAGCTGAGCTTATAAAGGCCTTCTCCTTATGATTTACAATGCATAAAATACGGTATGACAGTATATGTGACTTGCTTGAAATATATCTGATTATACATTGTTTTCAAGAAGTTAAAGTCAAAATTGTTTCTAACATTTAGTTATAATATAAAAAAAGGAATGAGAATACAGGACTGCATCATTTTGTTATATAACATTAAAGAGAAATAACGTAAATTAAGATAGAAAGAAATGAAGGAAGAAACTTTCAGCAAAATAGAAAAGAAGAAGAAATAACTGAAATGTGGATCATTCGGATAGTTCGACGATTTAAAGGGAAGTATTTAGTGATTTGAGCTGATGTGAATATGCTTAAGAGAATCTCCTGCTTTTTCGGATGTATGTATGAACGGCTTCAAACAGTCATCTAAAAAAATATTAGACCTATACAATAACACATTTTCTAATGATTCCATTTTATTTTAATTATAAAATCTTAAGAGTCCATTATCTAAAAGTTTTATTTTTAAAAGGAATGAATTTGATGCTATTTAATGATGAATAAGTCTGCTATGAAACCACACAGGTTGTGAATCTTCTAATAATTTAAAAGGTATAGAAAGAATATTAGACATACATTTTCGCTATATGTTATGTTTAACATTAATCATCATTTTGTTGTACAGATCAGTTTTAATGAATACCCATACATCGGATTTTGTCCGTAGTTAATCTAAAAATAAATTTTATGCAAGGTCGTATAAAAGGTTTTTGAAGTACATTACCTGTTCTTTAAAAAATTGAAAGGAAACAGGATACACAATTCACAGTACAATGCTTAACCCACATTCAAACAGGTTTTGTATAGAACACAGGTTAAAAAGTTATCATAACTTTAAAATCCCTTAAAGTTTGTTGTCTGTTTAAACCACACAAAAATTCTAAGCTGTTAAGCTGTCTAGTATCCAAACAGAATTAAAGACTAGCAAACTCACATTACAGCTTGTCAAATATTTATTAATGTAGTGCCACAATCTGAATAAATTATTATTCAACGGCATACCTTCAATTAAAAAACAAACAAATATACATACTTACACAATACGTTCATTTCGATACTTTTATTCGTTATCCCTTCACTTATGACACCACCGGTCATAATTATGGTGTTATTAACTCTACACGTATATACCGAACTGTCTGTCTTCGACACATTTTTCAATGAAAAAGTTGGTTCAAGCCATTGTTTTCCGTCTTTATTTCGTATCCACATGACACTTGTGTGTCTAGGATTTCCATAAATTAGTGGACATGAAAAGTTAACATTTGTCCCTTCTTCAGAACTAATATTTTTCATCTTGCCAATTTCTGGAGAAACTGAAATATAACTAAAATGTAAAAAAATGACATATTAAAACATTGATAAATGTTAAGTAAGCGATAAACTAGTTACAGAACTAGTCACAGAACTAGTTTCTCAATATCGGATAAATCAAAAAGTTATCTGGTGGCAGAAATATGCCATCATAGATTGCTACTGTTTAAATATCTTTTCTACAAATGCATTAAATCAGTATGCCAAGTGACATATATCAGATATCTTTTATCTTGTTTTAATGATTCACACCAAACATTTGACATTGAATAGTTGGTCACTCTATAGTTATGTTACTATAATTTCCACAAACAATTGTATTCAGATGAAACAGTAATTAATTGAAACATATTACATTGTATATCCGTCGAGACTGTCACATTGTTTTCACCAGTCATAGAACTTCCTTCAGTAGGAATCATAACATTACTGACATGGCACGTGAGTTTGTCTGTGTCGTTTCTCATCAGTCCATGTATGTGTATTACAGAACTATTCAACGATGTTATTGGTCCCCATGAATAAAGGTTGGGCTTTGGTAAGCTGCTAGCGTTGCATAATAAAGTAAAAGGTGTATGTTCCGCAACAATCAAAGCATCAGTGATCGGCATATTCACATTCATGTCTGCTATGGATACAAGGAACAGCGTTGGCTTGCTCGGAGGATCTTTATATTAAAACATTCAAAGGTTTTTATTACGTTTAATAACTGACAACTAAACGAAATACTTTAAAATTGTTATTCTAACACGACCCGTATTTTCGCTATTGAACATAGAAGAACCGAAAGTATGTGTTATTATTGGGTTAACGCACGTTTTTCCGTGTTATAACGTCTGCAGATCCTCGAGGAACGGTTGGTGCCCGAGCTCGGTAGGAGGGATTCTGCAACTTTATAACATAAAAACAGTGAGTTGACGCTATTATAGCATAACATTTTTAAACCAGATTCATGATATATCTTTAACCACTAAAACTGCATCGCACTGAAAATAAGTACGGAAACAAATCAGGTGCAATTCAGCTTAATATCAGGAAAAGGAGCAGTTATTTGTTGATGTCTTGTTGGAATCGAAATAGTGTATCCAAATAGGTGATTTTTTCGCTTGATTATTCACTGTTTGTCGTTCGGGTGCGCATCATTATATTACTCGGGATACGCCTCGCATCCGAACTCGAAACAGTTTTTTTTATTGAGCGATCAAATCACTGTTTGGGATATATTATTTCTTAATTAACATTTGTTTTGCAGCATATTATTCAATTTTTTACTGAAAAATCGTGCGTATTTACTTTGTAATTTAAAAACACGTTGACTGATATTGATTTGTAATTTTTGTATCTAATTCTTAAAGCAGAATGCCTCCAGATTCATGCTGAATTTTATAAAAAAATTAAGAAGTAAAATATTTTCAAGTGAACCAAGAAAGTACTTTTTACATTGCAAACGACACTTTCAATCAACGTTAATTTCCAAATAAATGTCGCAATAAAAAGCGCATACTGCATTAGTCACGCAGTAACAATATGGTGATAAAGACTGCAAAATCAGTTATTAATTGCATATAACATGTAAATTATCATTTGAATTGTAGATACTTTTATTTTATTTAAAATCCTAATACATTATATTACACATACATGTATTACATTACATTTATTAAGGTTGATTTTAACGAATGTCTTATATACATACACAAGACTTCTAATGTCATGTTCTTGCTTGACGATCCGTTTTTCCTTATATTTCCTGTCATAACCATTAAGTTATTTGCCATGCATGTATATCCCATACTGTCCTTTCGAGATGCATTTTTGATCGTAAAGGAATTAGTAAACCAGTGTTTATCGTCACCTTCCCTTGTCCAAATGTAGTTTGTTGCTGTTGGATATCCATGTGTAGTTGGACATGTAAATTCTACATCTGATCCTTTTGTTACTCGTTTGTCCAGCAACATTTTGATTGTAGGAGGGTCTGTAATCAATCATAACTTCAGTAAATACAATACAAGCATAATATTCATGCATGCATAAATAGATATATATTCATTTAAATGCATTTTATATTCAAATAGGAGTACAATTCCATGACAGTTTCGGAAGCGGATTTCCCCAAACAATTGCACAAGCCAAGTTGCATGTACTGTTCTCCTTCAGTGTATAAATACTATCATTTGAAGCGTTTTCGATGTAGGGACCTCCGTCTGGAGCATCTGGAGTTATTCAAAATATTATATGAAAATATCGGTAATGCAGATAGATATTGTTTGACCATTGGTTACTCGTAGAATCTGACAAATTTTGTTTAAAAAAAACACCAAAAAACTATTAAACACTCATTGTAAGACAAAACATCAATTATCTAATGTTTATTTTAATTTTGTGTTGACACTAGTGTCGCTTTCATCAACCTTTTAATGACAGGTGTATATATTTGGTTTGTTGTTCTAGTACAAGTACTATCTTTGCTGTTGCCGATTTTGACGAGATACATCATAGAGTACCACTAATTGTACAAGCTACAAGCTATTTTAAAAAGAAAAAAGTTCTTTCATAGCAGCAAACGAGGGAAACGGTACATAGTCGTTAATCAAAACAACTTTTACTTACAATATAATTACCAATAAAGAAATTAATAAGCAATATATTGTCAAAAGTGTAATAATTATTGCTTGTCCATAAATCATAAATTGAGACCCCTAGCTAAAGCATAGGATAACATGGGTTACTTTACTTTATATATATTTGTTCATGACTCAAAATAGAAAAGTTTTTTCTATTTTTATATCTTTATTAATAATTATTAAATGAATGTATTTCACTTCGATAATATTTGTAAATGAATTACTTTGTTGTAATTTTACAAAAGGCAATAATCAGTATTAACAAACAATAAATGTTTATGAAATCCCATACTAAACTGAGACACGTGTGACAAAACATTACTTACAATGCACTTCGAATGTTATGTTTCGAGAAACGTTCCCTTTTCCTATTCTATTCGTGCCATGGCAATAAATTTCTGCCCCTTGCTTTTCTCTACTGACACTTATGTTTAACACACTGATTGCAGATGTAAACCCCTTTTCATTAGATATGAATTCGATAGAACTCTTTCCGTTAATTTGAATGTTAGCACCGTTCAAACGCATAAACCAATTTATTGATGGTGTTGGTCTACTGTATGACGTCATGCATTTGACCAATCTATGCTTATTTTCTAATACAGTTATTTTGTTGCCAGTTGGAGATGTTATTTCAACCGTTTTCACTGGAACTGAAATATATTTGTTATTGTATGCTCTCTCAACAATAAGCAATCAAACTATTGTAGATGGGTACTGATCGTGCGATTTTGAATCAAATTACTTTTTTATGTCTTGTTTTCATGATATGGCATAATGAATCACCATATTTTATTGCAATTTTAGGGTATAAATGAATAAAAAATATCACAGTACAGTTGTTGATTTCTTTTGTCTATACCTTTTACTGTCAGTTATCTTTTTATATTAAGCTGGTGATCTACCATACATGATAATAAGACCAGTTTATAAATTCTATTTCTGACAAGACTGTAGACTGATAAACGTCATGAGGTATGTTTACCAAGATACGACAAAATTAATCTCAGTCCAACCTAGTTTACCACCTTGCGTATCTATTTGAAATTTTGACCATATCACAGAAAAAAAGCCTAAATCATAAAAAGTATAGTACTCATAGTATGCATATATAAATGAGCCTAAAACGTGGTTAAACAAAACGAATGCATGGTTGAACAAAACGAATGCGTGGTTGAACAAAACAAATGCGTGGTTGAACAAAACGAATGCGTGGTTGAACAAAACGAATGCGTGGTTGAACAAAACAAACTTACTGACCTAGTTCTCATAAGTATTTTGTGAAGACCAATGACGTAATTACAATAAAAAAATAACACGAAACTTACAGAATAAAACGTGTAAGGCACAAAAAGTGTACTTTCACTCCTGCACTTTAACTTATTTTATGTATTCGAAACATTAAAAAAACAACAAATACTTCATCAAATGCGCACAAACAGAAAGTGCACAAAAGCAAGAATATGCTTTGGGATCATTTCCCCGTATTTTGTGCGTTAATCAAAATTTTCTTTCATAGAAACTACAACAGCAATATTTTATACCTTGATATTTCCATATTAATCAAAATATATCAGCTTATTTTAGAAGACTTTAAATCATAAATAACAAATGTTTATCAAATGGATATACTTCTTTCAAAAGAAAAATGTCATCAGTAAGATATTCTCGCATTCATTGTTAACAGAAACATTTGAATATAATTACATGTATTTTTGTCATTTTAACATAACAAAACTGAACATATACCACAACATATTCAAGACGGCATGTATGTGATTGCATATTTTGTAAGGGATTATTAATTAATACGTTCAATTACAATGTTAAAGAGAATGTTTTATTACATTTGATTGATTAAATACCTTGAATATTGATTGTCGCATCATTGCTTATGGGGCTGAAATTAATACCTCTGCACCTCCAAACTATATTGTGCTGTGTTTCGTTCACTCTGAGTATAGTTAGTGAAAAACTTCCGTTTCTATGGCAATCCCATGAATATAACAACGAATTATTGAGATATCCACTCACAACACATTGGTCATCTTTAAAAAATATTACTGGCCAAATAGAGGGATTTTCAGAATTTGCCCAAAACGATCCTATAGAGTGCGTTGTGCACGTAAAAGTCACGTCCACATTCTCCATTACGTCGATACGTTCTGGTGCAAGCGTTACTTCCTGTGAAAACATACCTTCAAAAAAAAAACAAAAAAAACAACAAACAAATCAATGTTTTTCAGGATTAGACACGTATATTAAATTTCTTACAGAAGTTTAAGAATACCATTTTGTCTGTTATAAACCTTTCAAAACATTCATGGGGTACTGTTTACAGCATTTAAAAATGGTAGAATACCAATATATGCCCGCCACAAAAGCCTAGTATTGTGTTAGCGAAAATTTATGTACATTTGTATTTAAGTACAACGGGCGTTCCAAAAGCACGTAATTGATAACGGAGGCTGACGTCAGGATTTCTGAAGATCAAGGAATATAGAATTTATCTAAAGAATGTGAGTAAGCATGTTGAAATTTAAAGCATGCTCAAGGAAATAAAACATTGTTTAGTTCAGATTGTAAACAATATAAAACAAATAAAAACAATATACCACGTAATCTCTTTAAAAGGCATTAAAGAAACATAAACACATTAAATGATGAAATTTACAATATAAATCACCAAAATACTACCGTTTTAACAATACCTGCATATTTTGACAAGGTCTGGACAATGCCAGTATAGATACACTACTCACTCTTTAAAGCAGTTTCTGTGCTTTCATGAAATATAACACAAAACTGGAGGCGTAATGCCTTAATCTTTGCATCTGAAGTAAGTTAAGTGAGTAACGACATGAACAGAAAAGACTGTATTAAATAATGGGAACGCGATATCTTACCTTGCAGTTTTAATGAAATCAGTGCAATGAAAAATGAACAGTAAACACTTGAATTCATTCTCAAGATTTCATAATAATCTGAAACAAACGAAAACAAAAAAAAAAGATTTACAGTATAAGATAATAAACGGCATGATATCATGTCAATCGAAGCTTTACAATATGCTATGTATACATTCAAAATTTAGTATTTTTAATTCATTTTATTTTATTTGTGTAAGAGACATATATCATAACTGTATGTATTGGTCATATTATTTGCTTTTAATAACCACTTCATTTATAGTCTATATATAATACACATTTTTCTTACTTGATAATTTTACATTGCTTTTGAGAATCTATAAATTTCATATTATTCATATTGTGATATTCAAATATGTGTTCAAAACCGATTCATTTGCTTTATATTGTAGTATTTTGATGAAAGCATTGTGTTTTGAAGTGACACACTGATATCTGAACATATTCTATAATGTGTTTCACATTTTGATTATATTCTGGGATTGATATATGTTTATTCTATCTAGACAATCTTTAGACAAATTTGCATAAGTGAAGTATTGGTACAACAAAATAACATGGAAATTGCAGAATCGGTTTGATTAAGTCTGTACATGATGGATAATGAAAAATCGCCACATTCGTCATGTCCTCTAGCATTGGCTTGAACGGTATTCAATTAAAATTGCTGGAATCAATTATCAGAAGGACCAGAAAAATAAAACAACAATGAAGTGAAAGTCATTAAACATATCTATCAGAATAAAATAAATTAAATGTGCTCTTAATCTTGTGAATAAGTTTATGTCTAACCAGAAGTAATGCAGTTATATTCTCCTATACATAAAATATTTGAATTTATTTTCATGAAATTCTTAAAGTCATATCTTTTTGACCATTTTACGTATTTTTTTATAATAATATCATAAACTAACTTACATTTAAACATGTCTTCCTTGTCGAACATTCACCATTTTTAAAAAGACGATTTAAACTTCCTGATTAAGAATGTACTATATTTTTATGTACATCAAGGTAAACACACCAATACATAATGGTATTCTCCAAATACCGCCCACTTTGCATACATTATGCAGTGGTTTTATGATCCGTTTTATTCTAAATTGATTGTAAAATAGCTATGCAGCCATAGCCTAAGAAAAAACAAAACCATTACTACACAGGAAAATATATTGCTCAATGCATTGTAATCAAAAGTAGTATTTGTTTTAATATTAATAAACGATAAGAAGGTGCGGGTTTATCAGTTGTAAAGGATGTCGCGCCAATACACAAAATGTATATTGTTTGCCGCGTTTATAAGTTGGAGGGGGTATTTTTTTATTTATTATCATTATTTATTTTATTGTTACTGTATTTTTTTTGAAAACTTGGATTTTATATTTTACTGCCTTTCAAATACGTACAGATAAGTTCAGCGATCATTTTTTAAGAATTAAATGGCAATTATTTTCCAAAACAACTCAAACAATATAACGAATTGACTTTAATTTTGACTTAATATGTTTATATAGGCATTAAGCTCATATTTATATGTTAAAATGGTGCTCATATGAAAATTATAATATTTTAAACTATGTACGCCATTTTACAATATAAACAAACACGCTATGACAAATGATAAAGCTATCAGTGTAAAAAAAGATAATTCGATTTATACCTTCATTAATTGATATGCATACACCTCCTCTATTTAACTTATTTTTTTACTATCAGATATGATCAAATAAGTTTTCTTCAAGTAAATCATTTTCTTCTTATTGAGTTATAGAAAGACATAACATTTAACTGTGTAAATGAGGATGATTATGATGAAGGCATCACTCTTGTAACGCCCCATGTCACCCTTAAATTCATATGCTATATTTACATAATTAATAAATGTACAGCAAGAATATACTATTAAAAAAATACAATAGTTTGATATCATTTATACAATCTTTGCCTGATATATGAATATTTTACAAAAGAAAGTTCAATTAAACATGGGCTTTTCGATCTCATTGTCGCCCTTTATTCTGTATTGATTTGCTATTACATATCAAGGGCATTTCAGATAATTTGGTTACAATTATGAAAACCTTACTTTAACTATTATGTTGTATTCATTTCTTCGTCAAAAGAAACAAGAAGTGACTTAAAAAAAGATATTTGGTCGGAGTTAAAAATGCTTTTACTTTCAAAGGTTACTTCGCAGTTTTGTTTACAAGATGAAATGATAACAGATATTGCTTAAAAAACAACAATAATTAATTTGTTCAAATTCTTATTACTAGTTGATGAAGGGCTATTTTAGACTTTTAAAATAAATTATAAAACATGAAATTGATAAATCTTCAAAGAAGCGCTCATTTCCTTCCTTCCTTCAAGCATTTTTGTACATGTCCTTTTTTTTTTTACATATATCTTTATTCAGGTTAACAACTCTGCCACGAATGCCCCTGTTTATCCATAATTCTATGCAATGTATTAATAATATCCTGTAGGAAAAATCGAAGACGCCATACAAAACAAACCACACTCTGGAAAAAAAAAAACGAAACAAAACACAATCTCATTCGTACTCAACATGTTCGCTCAATTCATTTAACCCTCATATATATCGTTTTTAGGTAATGAATGTCATTTTAGATATAAGCGAAATTAAATAAGCATACTAACATACTTATGCTTCGATTGACATAGCTATCAATGGTTGGATCCAAAAAGCACTGCAAGTTACGTTTCTAAATGAAACTGTCACGCGTTTCGGTTTGAATTCCTATACATTGACGTATTAATACACACATTTATATATGTTTATTCATATGCAAATGCAAGGAAATATGAAATCCATATCATTTGAACACGTCATAAAATATCCGAAATAAACACTGAATGCACCAAAAAAGTTGGAGTGGGGTTGGTTATTTGGTGTCTTTCGGTATTTTCATGCATATCGAAAGCGTTATTAGTGGACAAAGTTAAAAAATCCATTGATAACTCACTCAGTAAATTATCATATTAAATAAGCTATTCACTACAGAATTAAGAAAACTCTTAAAGCAGTATAAAATGTTGTTAAATATTTCATGACAGGAAGCACAATTCACATATTTCAAATATCCGAGAAATTTAACTAGAAAGTTTGATTCCGAAACTCCTTTTGATTATTAAAGAATTAAAACGTTTAAACGTTTCAGAAAAAATCCTTTATATTATTTTATTAATTTTAGAATGGCCAATGAGATTCCTGGATTTCAGTTAATTAATTTAAAATGACCACTGAAATCCAACTTATATTCAGTTCATCCCTGTAAATTTTTCAGGAAGTCAAACCGTTCTCAGGTGGACTTCGTCCAAATAAAATAGAGACTATAGATACTTTACGTAAAGAAGATAAAACAAATCGATTATATTGCTTTGCAACTTATGCATAGTTTGATCCAAGAATGGCATAATTGCTGACGATCATTAATGAACTTTTATGAAATATTTCCTGTAATGTGAGACCTTGACCTTTGAGATACAGATCTCGATTTTCTGTAGAACACTCTGTCTCAATGTGCTTCACATTTTTGAAAAATAATTTCAAATCCATTCATAATGACAATGTTTAGATCGGACACAACTGAGAACAACGGACGTTAGCACTGACTTGACGTGACGGCCGGCGGAGTTACGTTGATTTTCTTTGATCTTTAAAACCACAGAAAAAAACTAGAAACATTTTTATCGCATGCCAGTAACATCATAATGTCATCACAATAGGAGCATTCACCCTAAGTTAATTGAGTTCGTGAGTGCGGAAGAGAGGACGGACAGACGTACGACACTGCAAAGCACTAAATGCCCACAATTAGGATAAAAACATTTGTTATAAATAAATTACGTAGGAGGAAAACTATTAAAAAAGTTTAAACCCAGTATTTAAAAAAAACTTAATTTAAAAAAGATTTTACATATAGTAACATTTTCAAAGTGAAATAAAATCAACAACCTTACTAGGTCTTATGAATATATATGATTATGGAAAGCACTTTCTATTAGTTTTTCTCTTTCACAATATATTTGAACGTATATTAAAAATGATAATCATACGCACAAGAAAAAAACCACATTCACTGGAGTGTACAAAATGGCTTACTAGAACATTGTATTTTTTTTGATAACTTAAATGTTTTCGGTAGTTTTTCAACCTTTGTGTGTATTTACAGGTTGATTTGTTTATTATTCCCATAGATTACCTATGATGCACTTTAAGTATATTACGATATACGGATTTTACAAAAGAGCTTTACAAAAACGATTACAGGCAATGTAAAAAGATAAAGATTTTTCTTTTATGTTCACATTTCAGTTAAGAAAGTGTTCATAAGTTGTTTAAAATTTTGTTTAGAACGCAATCTGCGTTTCATTTAAGCACAAATAATATTCAGCAGTAAATCATAGTTTAGTATACTATCATATTTCCATATGTATAATTTATATCGCTTATGCTCATTTACTATTTAAGATGAATATTTAAATGAATAAAGATCAGTTTACAACTTGTTAGCATACAAATCAGATTTGAAAACTTTCTATGCACAAGTGTTTGCATGTTGACTGAATGCAATTTATTATAAAATTGTTTGCACAGTGTTTATATCTCCATGATAATGTACTAGACTGTTCTTTGTATTGCTCGTATGTGATGTTTTATCACAAAGGAACGAGTAACTGAATAATTAAAGGACACTGAAAAAAGGGACAACGGCAATCTATATAGTTCAGATTATAGGTTTAGTTGTGTATATCGATGATATAGTTGACTTATTAAGAGAATGAAAGAACAGCTTTATTATAAAAGTTATCAAGGAATTTAATTCAACAAATAAATATGAAGATTAATGTTTGCAATAATCATTTTGAAGAAGAGAAAATATGAAGAACTAAGGTTTCAAAGGAGAACATGGAGTACCGGTAGGCCGATACACCTAGCTGACAAAAAGAAGAAAGGCTAGCGTAAATTACTAAATTTTACACAGACGCTTTTCATTTAACAGCATCAGCGTGGAGATGTGTTTATTTATATGAAATCTTACAATTTTGAGAAGGGTGAAGTTGTTCTCTCTCATTAATAGTCAACAGCAGGTTTAAAATTGACAGTAATCAGAAGCGATCATGAGGCAACATAACAAGGAAGTATCATAAAGTATCGGATGAGTACACTTTCACAATTATTTATCATAATGAAGAACGTAGAAGTTTGAAGTTAAGTTTGTAGTTAACAAGATTGATAAATAATTGTCATTTTTATTTAGTATCTTATATTCGTGGTGTGACATAGTTTGTAGTCATTAAGATTTAAAATTAAATTTTGCCGAAATATCAACTTATATTATATAATATATTCTTTCTGAAGATTTTAAAGATAAATATAGGTTGTTTGATGACTGAAAGTAACTATGTGATTATACAAACCTAAAGAACTCATCAGTATGTATCAACATATCCAATTAATACTTAAAGTTACTGATCATAACAAAGACTAATCTAACTTTGAGATTTCGACCTGAAATGACTTTGTCGGGTAAAACAAATCAAGATACATCTACATACAAAGTTTAGAGTTTTTAATTGAGTGCATTTTGGTTTCATGACAAATTAATTGTTTTGCCATTACATGTCCTCGTGACCTTAACATTTCACCGTTTGTCTTAAAAATAAATTTTGCGGGTACAGCTTATCGTAGTTCGTATACACACAATGTTTCAAGTTCCTAGGTCAATACAGTGTAATAAAATGGCCTGTTTACTGTTTTGTTTTAACATATCTTAGTGACGTTGACTTTTCAAATGTAAATGGATGAGACAGGTAGAACTCCTTCAGATGCATCTACATTCAAATTTTGCAGTTCCTAGGCCAATGCACTTTGCTTTGATTGTCAGTTGTATGTTTTTTATTACAGGACCCAGTAACCTTGACCCTTAAATTGATTGGACCGGTAAAAATTATACAGGTGTACAAAACTTGCAGTTCCTCGTTAATGCACTTTGTGCTTCAATGACCAGTTTTATATTTTGTTAATACAGGACCCAGTGTCCTTGACGTATGACCTAGAACTGAACATTGCAGGTAGAAATCATCAAGGTGCATCTTCTTGCAGACGTTGCAAGTCATAGGGTACTTTTCTTTAACGTCCGCTTGTATTTTTATTAAAGTCCCAGTCACGTTTGCCATTAACCTTTTGAACTAATCATGGGTGTGACTGTTTAAACGTATCATCATGCATCTACAAAATAAAGATCACATCATTATTGAAACCAATGGTCAAGAACGAAAACTTTACCAACAATATTAACAAACGTCGATGCCGACGAGTCAGCCATGACAATAGCTCTGCATTATCTTCAAAAAGTTGAAGTGGATGTTAAAAGTTTCAATTAATATGCTTTATGCTCATGCCAAATATCTTTAAAGGAATGTATGTGCCGTATATAACATAATGTACATTCTTGCTGACCTACAACGACGCCAACGATTTGGCCATAACAATAACTCTTTATTTTGTCGAAATGCTCATGTGGAGCAAAAAATGTTTCAAATTAAATGGCCCTATGTTCATTCCAAATATTTATTAGGATATTCATAAAGTTACATAATAGGTTTCTGAATCGGAATGAGGCTTCATAATACTCTAAAAGCTATAGCTTATGATGCATTATTCTCAAGTGTATCCAATAAGCAATTGATTTTACGAACTTGTTTATCTCCCGTCGATTAAATTTGAAGTTAGATGTTTTTGAATGGCGTTGTCTGTCCGTCAGTCCGTACTTCAAACTATTAAACATTGCTATGTCTAATTTTCTCGAAAATGTTCAATGATGTACTTATGAAAGCGGGAATGGGGCTCACATAGTATATTTAGAATTAAATCATGTTATTTTCTAAAGACCTTGTTTACTTGCTCAGGCATTTTGCACGAAAAATGTCCATTTTTAAGATAAATTATACAATTGGCTGTTTGGAATATTATGACATGAATTATGGCATAAATGCACATTATTGAACGGATTTTTTTTTTATCAAAATGAACATGTTTGTATATTGATGCGACAATAGTGTACCTTTAAATATCATCATTATACACACGTGTTCAGTCATAGTCTTATATTATATAACGTATCTTTATATAAAATACTTTAGTAAAGTTACCTTTTTATAAATCTACCGTCAAAGTGTACATGTTTTTCCAAATAAATGTATCATGTAGTTATAATATTTCAGATATTATGACTTAAATAGCTTTACCGCGATATTTCATCTTAAAATATTTCACAACTAACGTTGCTTATTATTGAAATTACGTATTTGATAATTTGATCATAGTTTTGCATGCTTTACAGCACTCAAATTTTGTGTTTATGACTAAATTGCTTCAAAAAGTATCATAATTATTTCTTATGTCAGAAAGAGGGATGATCTCAAATAATGTAGAATTTTGCTGTTGCTTTACAACTGATGTTGTACATTGATTCGTATGAAATTACTGCAGAATTGTTTTTTTCCAATTTCTTTAAATGTCCTTATGTGTTTACATCATCATGCTTGGAACCGCTCGTTTTTTAGATAAAACATAGGTGCTTCGGTGCTATTTCTATACAGCCTGCTCGTTTATACAACATTTCATGATGCACCTGTAAACGGTTGTTTGATTTTAAAGCTGTTTTACTGTAAAACATTCGCAAAGAACTACGTAGCATGATAGTCATCGGAATTAAATGATTATCATTAATTTCCGAGTGAAAGACTTCTATTCAAGAAAAAATACTTAAGCTATAAAAAAATTCTGTATTTCTCAAGAAATGACCAAAACAAGACTCAATTTAAATCCTTGAAAATCTAATAATTAAAGCAACAAATGTTAATGACTACCATTCCAATTCAAAGTAACCAAAACACTCATAAAACAACATATATAAATTGAAGCATGTGTCTCCTGTTCCTTTGTTTCTTGTTTATTATTATTATTATTATTATTATTATTATTATTATTATCATTATTATTATTATTATTATTATTATTATAAATTTCAATGTTTAAACCAGTGTCTTCGATTCACAATTCGTGTACACACAGCCAGCAAGGTATCATTAAACAACGTGTAAGATTAAAATGAATAAATTTTACCTTTAAGCAGGCATTTGGGAATGTTAACCTAAATAACATTCCACATTTCATAGCTTTAATTATGTTGCAATAATTTGTTTTGTTTCAAAGCTGATTTCCATTATGTGATGTGAATCTATGCTTGTATGAGGAATAAGCGTGCATATGTGCACCCGTTTGCGTGTGTGTGTGTGTGTGTGCGTGTGTGCGTGCGTGCGTGCGTGTGTGTGTGTGTGTGTGCAACCAGTTTGCTAATGTTTCCCGCATTCGTGGAACTTTTGTATTATATTGAATTAAATATTGTTTCATTTTCAGCTCAGTGAAAATGATATCGGGGACCAATTTCTTATCTATCGTTTTCATGATGTGGCACATTGGTAGGCACAATTATAATTTTTAATTAATTGATATAGTTTAATAATTTTTACTGAACACCTAAAATGGGCTATATGAAATACTTCCGATCTGCTTTACAATGAACGTTTGTCAGTTACTTTTTTGTAAGATTTATACATAAGAAACCTTATCGCCCACCACCCGTGTTATTAGAAATAAGTAAAATAGGGTAAATAACTTCCTCAAAATCGTCAATGTGGTCAAAGTGAATACACTCAAGTTAATACACTTATTTCACAATTATAAATTAATAAATATCTTGGCATATTTTTATTACTGTAGTCCTTTAATCAATATGTACTTCAGTTAAAGAGGATGTGTATTAATCTTAACAATTGTAGCACATTGTTTGTTATCTCAATAATTAAAGTTTGTTTGAATTAAAGTTAAAAAAAGAAGTAAAATATTAAACTGAATTCCAGATGCCAGAATAATAACATACCAAACTGGGGTCGATTTCGTTGATGATTATTACGAATGTGGCGAGAAACTAGTGCTTTCTTGCAAAATTGATAGATATCAATATTCAATGTCATGGCAAAATGATAGCAGCGATGTTCCATTCGCACAATGTGTAAATGATGTTTGTACATTAGACCATGGTGTGGCAGACAAATTTGTGTTTTCAACTGACACAAGTACAGGAACGTTCAATTTGACATTTGTTGTATCAATTTACAATAATGGAACAAAATATACCTGTAGTGATGGTTCAACAAAGTACTCGACCCTTGTTTTAACGAAAGGTATGTGCTTTTGCTTTCCTTTTTATTATATTTCATTATCCTCCAAAGTTGGAGAGCGTAACATATTTGTAAAGTATATATAATGTACATACAACAGAAGAGAAATATATACATATGCACTGCATTGTAATATAACAGATACAATAACATATGAAATTCTTTTTACAATTGTAAATTTATGACTTATGGTTGTATGTTGTTGTCTTAAACGAAAGCGAAAGCTATGAGAGTATGTTTTAAATCATTCTTTTTAAATATGAACATTAGTATATTCATCTTTGATGACGAAAATAAACAAATTTTGCTACTTATTCCCGTACCAATAACTGAATCCTAATCGAAAAAGCAATAATTAAGAGAAAGTAAAGGTATGTGCTTTTGCTTTCATTGTCCTTCCATATGCTTATTAAGCGTTTAATTACTAAATATAGATCTGTAATCAAGTTAATTTGTATGAAAAGGGTATTTATCACATACAGGAACTAAATGCTTAATGGTATATGTATATATGTTATGCAATACCGTCTTTACCCTAATTAAGAGAAACTGCTACAGGGAACAGAAATTAAATAAGTAAATTACTAGTATATATTAATCATTTTTTTGCAACATTTTAATTATTATTTAAATTTTCAGCAACATCTTAGAAGCGTCAATACAGTTACTTATTCCGACTAATGGGGTTTTCTTAAAACGTGTATATGATAAGTTAAAGAAAAAATAATTGATTCATTTATATATTAAAATAATTCCATACTCATGTTTTATACATGTATGATAGTCTAGCAATTTTCGCTTCCGCTTCGACTGCGCCTCAATAATTTGTTCTTTTAACAAATTATAAATTACATTATATTGGGTCATGAAATATTCACAAAATTATATATAGTTCAAATCCAAAATAGTTTTGACACAGCAGTTTAGTTCAAGGTCTAAAATAAAATAAACTGTTTGATTTCCTTCCTGATACCTGCCCCAAAAGAGCAGTGTAACCCAAAAATGTTGTTATCAAACAAAATTTTTTTTCCTTAACATGGAAGGGGAGCCTGAAATTTGTATATTTTAATATTTGTTTCATACTTTGCATGATGCAATATATAATAATTACAAATACAATATAATATAAACACAATGGGGTATATATTGATTAAGACTTTTTTTCTAAATTTATATGGTTCAGATATGTTAAATGAAAATATTTTAATTACCCTAACTATGGTGGCTGATTTAGTACGCTTTTGTGCGTCTAGTTGGCGCTAGCGACAACGAGACAAAGGGCCAAACGGCGCGTTGTCGCACTGTCGTATTGTCGAACTGTCTCTAGCACGGCACACCAAACGGTGCGTTGTCGTGTTGCGCGTTGTCGTGATGTCCCCCTGTCGTTTGGCTTATAAGCCAATCCTTCAATTTGAACCAAGCGACAATGTGACATCTCGACAACACGCCACACGACAACGCAGCGTTTGGCGTGCCGCGCTAGAGACAGGACGACAAGACGACAGCGCGACAACGCGCCGTTTGGTGCTTTGTCGTGTTGTCGCTGGCGCCAACGTGACGCACAAAAGCGTAGCAAATCAGCAACTTTACTTAACGTATCTTCTCTACCCAAACTTGCATTGGTCGCAGCAGGGGAAACCAAGATGTTTTCAAGGCTTGCCAAAGTTAGTAACATTTTATACATTTATGTTACTTTGTTCACAGATTACAGACCTACTTTAAAGAAAATAGCGCAAGGTCAATTGAAAGCGATGTCTGGCTGCGTAAATCCAACAATAAGTGTTAAGTTCTTTTGGAAAATAGTACAGGTAGCTACGACTATGATTTTTTTTTCAAGAAATTGCAATGGACAAAATTACAAACTGAAATCTGAGAATCTTACTTGCCATTCTAAAGTTAAATGTTAAGCAATTTTTCTTGTCATTCTAACAAAACATTTTCAGGATAGATCTAAAATAAAATGTTAAGGATAGTTCTTTCCATTGTAGGATAGTTCTAACACATAATGTACAGGATAGTTGCTTAATTTTATAGTCAAATTGCTAGGACTTATCTATACTTCCTTCCGCAAACAATTTACACTGCGTCATGATCTCATTACAAATGTAAGTGAATATTTTATTTTACAAAAGAACTTAGACAAATTTTGCCCAAAATAACGAGACCATCAAAAACTGTTACGATACTGTAAATTTCCCCTTGCACATTAAAATATCGAAAAATCCGAAATTACCAGGTACTTTCAGTTTATGATGTTCAATCAGTGTCCGATATATTATATGATCATTGATGCATTCAATTGATTTATTTTATGCTTTTCATCGGATTACTGATTTATCCGTGAAAATTATATTTGATAATTTCACAGTAAAAATTATCAAAATATAATTTCACACTTTTCAATAACGAAACTACTTTTTTAAGATTTTCCCCATGTGGTACCTCAATTTTGTTTTGGCTGACAATTTTGACAATGTCAGGCTGTTTAAAGAAAAAGGCAAAGCTGAAATTGATAAATAACGTAAATGTTAAAAGTAATAAAAAGAAGAAAACTTACTTCTATTCATTCAAATTCCAACCACCAAATTTCGTCACTAAATTTTTTTGTTTCATTTTTACAGTCTGAAAAATACATTCCTTCCACATGCAAAACTGCTCTTGATGACATTTGGGCATATTAAAGTATCCTACGAGCAATAACTGCCGTATGCTTTATGAAAAATTGAAAAGCAATGACAGCTATCAGCTCGAAGAACAAGTGAACTACCAAGCGTTCCTGAGCTAGCTTCCAAAAATTTCCATTTTCCTAGCTGTTGTTTTGAATGTTTTCACAGCTGTCAACTATGGAATGCCGGTAGGGACATGCCACTTTGCTTATTTGCCAACTACTTAATTGCTTATTTGCTAATTGCTGATTGGCCAATTTGCTTATTTGCTGATTTGCCAATTTGCTTATTTGCTAATTGCTTATTTGCTAATATATATTTTTTTTATGCTATTGTCAGGCGACACGTCCGACTCGCGAAGTTCTTGTTTGATATAAAATAACAAGTCTTTGTAGACTTTATTTCAAGCTCATGAACCTATATCATGTTATTATGTTTATAAAGTTTTGATAATTATAACTTGTGACAATTAGGATCAATCCATCATTACCTAGAATATAGGTAGACAGACAGATGGATACATTTTAATCAATTTCGAAAAAAATAAATTCAGTTTCAGAAAGTAGTTGTTTTTTTATTATTATCTTGAGTTTCAGTTTTAGCTCCACTATTCAGAGAATAGGGATGCTGTTCTACCCACCAATGCATTGGTTTTCTTGGTAACTTGTTTTTCTGTCATATCTCTGTTACTTTTGCTGATTCATGCATCTTACTGCAACTTTGCATAAACTTTGCGTTACAAGCATGCATACAAAGTATATGAAGAAGCTGTGCCCGTTATATACTGAATGTCAAGGTCACCAATGTATTGTACTGAGAAGCCTTTGTCTCTGTTACTTTTGCTTATATCTAACTGTAACTTCACATAAGCATTAAATAGGCAGCATGCATACACAATATTCAAAGAGGCTTTGTCCATTAAACCCTAGGTCATGATCATGGTCATGGTCACATGATAGCATGTAAAAGTACAACATGAAGAACTGGAAAAGTGTGACCAAATTTCAAAAACATTGAACCAAAGCAAAATGTTGATGCACAAACAGACATAAGTGATCTCAAAATCTTACAGAGCTAAAAACGCAGCCTGTTGCTTAAGTGCAAAGACAAACACCCGTGTTAAGCATGTACCAAATGTATCATTTGTGATACTATGTGTTCGTACCGCTAAAATGAGGCCCTCTGCGACAAATCTGCTGAGAATAACGACATTTTATATGCCATAAAATAAGAAATAGTTTTGTTTTCAAGTTCTTTTATTTTCAATCTTTACCCAATAATGTTCACTTATATATGACTAATCAAGTGTTTATTATGCCATCAATCTCTGACTTAAGCTGCACAAACAGATCTATAGCTGCAACACGTTATAAGGCAGGCTCAAGCACAGATGCTGGCGGGTCAGATCCTGCCCCTAACGTGATACGCGTCTGTAAACACTATATCAAAATTATTTTAATATTCATTAAATACGAATTGGACATTTGTTACAACGATAAAACCATTAAGTACTTTATTGAGACTTAATTGGAGGTATATGGTGTTTTTTCATACCGGTATATGTAAAAATTGCTTGAAACCAGTTTTAACGATGTCCAATTCGTGTTTAAATATTAAAATATTTTAAAATCAGTGTTTACAGGGGCACGTATCACGTTGGGGTACGGGATCTGACCCCCAAGCGTCTATGTTCTCAAGGACATGTCAGTCATCAGCTGTAGACATAAATCTGCGTAGGCATCACTGCAACTAAATTCATTGATCAACAGTTGTCTTGAAAAAACACTGAATTTACAAGAATACTGTTGGTAAAAGTTAACAGATCTGACTCAACTGGTTGTCTGTAGTCAGATTTTCCATATATTTCCGGCACAGTGTAAAGTATTTCTATTGCAAAAAAGCAAATAAGCAATTGGCAAATAAGCAAATACGTAATCCAGCGGTTAACAAATAAGCAAATTAGCAATTCAGCAATTGGCAAATAAGCAAATTTGTCGTTAAGACTATCAGCCATTGGCAAATAAGCAAATCGGCAATTAGCAAATAAGCAATTCAGTAATTGGCAAATAAGCAAATTGGCATGTCCCTACCGGCATTCCATAGTCAACACTTATTTATGTCTATTACAATCCTCAAATAAGTTTTCTTTCTTTTAAAAAGGTGTATGACTAACAAATCCAAATGATATCCCTCTGAATCAAACACAATTATTTTCCTCCCGTGAAATACACAACTTTAAAAAATGGCTGCCGCTTACATTTAAAAAAGCCAGGTCTAATATAAACTCGCAGTAAGAAACAGAAATATGGATGGATGGACTTTTTCTCCTACAAGAATTGTTTGTTTTTATTATTAAAACGAGCGATCATTCATATTTTTAATAAAATGAATAATATCACCGTCATTTAACGTTGATTGTCGGACTTATTTTTCAGCTCAAGACTTCTTGTTTTTATTGAAGATTTCCGACTAAATGGGGCTCTCAATGGGAAAAACAGATTTTAATATTATGGAAATTTCGTTTTAACTTGCTTTAAAGCATAAGATAAAAAGACAATTTGTTTGTTTTTTGTGCAAGATGTAATTTTATTTCATCTCGTGAACATTAAAAACAGTATTCTCACTCGTGCCTTGCCACTCGTGAGAATACTTTTTTTAAAGCCCATTCGATGAAATAAATTTCATCTTACACACAAACAAACAAATATCCTCTATATAATATTATTATTTTCAAAAATCTTTTTGCAAATTAATCAAGTATAGGTTGGTGTTAGAAATTGAATTCCCTTACTGAAACACGACTGGTTTATTTAAGAACACATACATTTTACAGTTTTCCATTTAAAAGATTAAAAACCATATCTTACCATTGATTTTTTTTAAATGGTAATAAAAGTATTTTAACATTACAAATGTTACTTATGTTTTTATTTCGGATTTTCGGTGTTTTAACTACATGTTGTAGGCCTATGTCCCTCTGTACGTGTTGCAAATGAGTGAATTTATTTTACCAACAAAACGTTCTCATTTATAAACTTCCTTTTCAAATTTCAGATTTTGATTAAACCTTAATTGTTCAAGAAATACTTTTTTAAATCTGAAATAACTGAATGCTTACTTGTTAAATCTAAATTGACATTCAGTACATAAAAATAAGCAATTTACATTGACAGTAAAATGAACTGTAACGAAATCATTGAGTACAAATTAACTGTTCTATTTGTATGTGGAGTTTTATCCCTTTACTTTTACACAATTAATGTGGTTTGTAGGGTTATGTCTATTTCTATTTATCACAATTGTTAATGTTTGTGACACCAAGGCCGGCTGACAATGTTTTACAGTGTTTTATACTTTTCCTTTTCATCATAGCAATTTGCATTAGATTAAAGATAAAACGTTCATAAGTAGTTTGTTGATAAGATACTATCCATTTTTCTTTTAATCATATTTTCAATATTGTTTATGTTATCCATTTAAAGATACTGCCAATATTGCATATGATTACAAACTTTATAAATGCAAACAAAAACGTAATAGGAACACCTAAATCAAAACTGTAAAATAGAAGTTGTCTTACTTTGAAGAGACATCAATATTAACATGATAATAAATTAATTTCTATGTTTACAAAATGTTTTTTCTTCTTAACTACAAGAAATTATTATGTCATTGCCAACATTTCTATATGCATCAAAAACTTAGAAAGAACATAATATGTAAGTTAACCAATTTTACTTCTACCGAATATCTTTTTAAAAGATACTTCTTGTTCATATATACTAGTTTGTCATTGAATCTATAAAACTTCACCAGTTAGTCAAAAGCACTTTCATTTTCAGGCTGTCACGATGATAGAAACCTATTTCAGTCCGACATACGTAGATGACTATCAAGCCATAAACAAAAAAGCGTGCGAATTAGATGTAGAATGTGGTGTAATTGATTCAATACAGCATGTAAGGTCGATAGAAGCAGAGCCCGGAGGTTCCAAAGATTACTTTTTAAAAGTGATTGTGTCCTATGATGGGTTTACTGTAGAATCATCTCCTACAGATGAAACATACAAAATAGGTTACGTTGAATATTTTCTATAATTCTACTTAAATATATACCAAATGTATTCCTTTATTTTAGATTCAACTTGTTATAATTATCCGATCTTCCAGAGAAGGAAACGTGTAGTATATGTAACTTAGTGGGGACATTGCCCATCTCCTATTGATCCAGATTCATGCTACTTTTCATGAGATTTTTAAAATGTATTTGAAAGTAGAGTATTACCAAATATAGGTCAGAATTAGCAAAAATAGTCTTTCCACAGTAGAAATATTGCAAAATCAGTCTTTAATCGCACATAACATGTAAATTATGACTTTACTCTTGAATAATTTTAATTTTCTTAAAATCTTAGTACATTCTTTTGAAGTTTAGTTTTAAAAAAACCCAAACATTTTGGCTCATCTGGAGGCATGCAGCTTTAAAATAAGTATGAAATTACTGTTAATATAACTGCTCGTCTCTTATAAGTCAGTGTTTGAATGGTCATGTACTAGTTTAATATTATGTAAGCTTATGACTTATTTTGTGTGTGATTACATTAATGATGCTTTTGTAAATGAATAAATTACTAAAACTATTGCACGTCCAAAAACATTCAAAAGGATTGCGGTACATTCATTTCTCATTATGAGTGAAAGAAGTAGTTATCAAACGAATGATATTTGATTGGACTGTAAACATTTTGAAATCAAATGATTGACAGGTCGGCTATTTGCTACCCCGCCCCTCGCTTTTTTGTTTATTACCGTTTTGAGACTCGCTTGATCACCAAAGGTCATAAATTACGTAACGTATTATGCAATCACACAATAGGAAGTCAGCTATTATTGTTTGCTGTGTTAATCAAAGCCCTGCAACCAATGAAGTATGCATTGTTTGATAATACGGCCCATTTTGTCATCAAGATCTCGTTGAATTTATTACACTGACCCCAAAATCAATAGGGGTCATCTTTTAGCCGCCTGGAAAAAATACCTCTATATAACTAACAAGCTTTTTTCTTATTTTGGCTGTGTGACGTAGATTTTTTACCCCATACGCAAACTTCAGTTTGAAATCATTAAAACAGCCTTTGTGACAAGAAAATTTAGAATATTTTGACTGAAAATATTAATTCTAGAGTGTTACCAATGTTTTATTCCATATTTGGATTCTGCTGATTAATTTTGACCCAACTTGACCCATATTTAAACTCTAGGCAACCTTTCGGACCAATTTCTAGGATATTTAGGCTTAAATTGTGACCTCTCAAAGGGTGTACGATTTCTTCATATTTGGGCTGTGCGACCTACTTTTTTAGCCCAGGTGACCAATATTCAAACTTAAAGAGGTATATAAAATATAGTGCACAGTAACGATTGCGGATGTTTATGTATAGATTTTGTAATTGTATAACTTATTTCAGGACATTTGTAGTTCCCTGAGTAGTATAGGCGCCACGCCTATACTACTCCCCTGATAAGTCTTGTTTAACATATATATTTTTAAATTGTAGAAGATGATCAAACACTTCTTACTTAAATAATAAAAAGAAAAAAAATCACAAAAATATTTAAGTAGCAGTCCCGTCAAATTGACACAAAATGCCAATAAAATTTGTAAAACAAAAATGATATAAAAATGTGCTCTTTCCAAGAAAAAAAATGACAACCTTATGAAAAATTACAAATATAAAGTTTGCATTTGAAAATTTTTATTTACATTTTGGAATTTTCTTTTTCGGAACAACTATCGTTTAACGATTGTTCTACACTTGATATTAATATCACATATAATAATTTAAGTTATCTATAGGTTTTCAACTTTTCTGGAAAAAAGCAAACCTATATACATTTATTAAAATAAAGTTGTCTGGACTGCTGCCAAATACGCACAAAGCTCAGACATGATTTGAACAAACCAGATAGTTGTTCACAAACGTAACTGACATTTCAGCCAAACAATTCTACAAAACAAAGGTAATGAATGGTCTTTATTTTGATAAAGTACTCATCTTGGACCAGGAATTATGTAAATTCTCAAAGGACTATCATTCAATCGAATCAATGCTAGAGTGATTGGTAGTATGTAAATTTTTCTTTAAACAAAATAAATAATTCAGTCTTTTTATAGATTTTTTGCATGCAAAACATTTTTCAATCAGCATTTTATTTTTTAAAATGAAACAGGACATTATTCCAGTCAAAATCCTTGATAAGCTGAAGTTCATATAAATTATCCTTCTGTAAAATACCTAACTTGTTAATTCAACGTCACGCTAAATGGTTTCTAAATTTAGCCTTTCGTGTATTCAATAAGGTCTTTTTTATTACGGTAGAATTTCTATGAGTCAAACTTCGATTAAATGATTTTTCTCGATGTGTCGAAGAAAAATGAAAGTCCCGGTTTGTTCCTTATATATTCCTTATAAAAACCTATATGTTGTAATGTGTTCGGGCTAGCTGTTAGTTTCTAATTAAATCAAATGATTGGTACAATCAAACTTTAATGATAAATAATTTTTCTTATGACTCTTTGCCAGTTGATTGAAACAAGGGATTTAGGGAATTACTCGTTCAAGTTAAACTTGTAAAACATGTATGTCCCATATCGGCAGCCAATTAGTCATGTGGATAGGTTACTGTGACTGACTTTTGACCTAGTGACCAAAAATCTACTTGTCATGACTAGTCATTAGGCCATTGTGACCGTGAAGGTTTTGTGCAGCAATTTTTGGACAGAGTTATTACAAATCTTACCAAATAATATATGCATAAATATTATGAATAATGTAGGCCTCGTTAATTTGTTATATTACATTAAACCTTGTAATGTGTATACCAAAAGCATTCTTAGCCTAATGAAAATTATCAGCCAAGACAACTTGAGTTGATGAGTTATGGGTCGGAAACAGTTTTTGCGTACAAGGTCAATGTATCTTTGAACTTTGATCCTTATATCATCAATAGGAGGGGTTATCCTCTGACCAAAACCAATGCACTTGTGAAATTTGAAGATAAAGGGCCCATGAGTTGATAAGATATTGATCAGAAACATATGCATAAATTTTATGAATAATGTAGGCCTCGTTAATTTGTTATATTACATTAGACCTTGTAATGTGTATACCGAAAGCATTTTTAGTGTAATGAAAATTATCAGCCAAGACAACTTGAGTTGATGAGTAATTGGTCGGAAACAATTTTTGCGCACAAGGTCAATGTAACTTTGATCCTTATATCAATAGGAAGGGTTATCTTCTGACCAAAACCAATGCACCTGTGAAATTTGAAGGTAAAGGGCCCATGATGTGATAAGATATTGATCAGAAACCGTTCTTTCTATAAGATCAATGTGATCTTGACCTTCTACACCAAAAAATCTATAAGTTTGAAGGTCAAGGGTCCATGGGTTATCGATTATTGATAAGAAACTGTCATCTACTTACCAAGACCAACCTTTTACCCATTGACGTCCAAATAAATAGGGGTCATCTACTTGCCAAGACCAATGCACCTACGAAATTTCAAGATTCACAGCTTATTGGTTGCAAATTTTTGATCATAAACTGTTTTTATCTACAAGATCAATGTGACCTCAACCTTTGACCCACTGTCCCTAAAATCAAAAGGGGCAATTTACATGCCAATACCAATCGTCTTTGTAGTTTGAGTGCCAAGAGCACATGGGTTGTCAAGTTATTGATCAGATACTTTTTTACCTTGACCTTGGACCCCTTGATCCCAAATCAATAAGGGTCACCGACTTGTCAAGACCAATGAACCTTAAAAGCTAGAGGGGAAAAATTCCATTGGTTATCAAGTTATTGATCGGAAACCGACGGACGGACCGACCGACCTACCAACCGACCATCAAGGTCAAATATTGAATTTAGCTTAGATTGTCAAGAGTTTGATATTCATTAACGAATTTGAGTAATACATTGTATTTTGAACAAAAGAACCCTCATAACAAAAACAACAACAACAGACAAAAAAAACATAACAACAACAAAAAACAAAGTATGTTGAATAATTCAAATATGACCTTGACCTCTATTTGACATTGACCGTCAATACCAAATTATCGCAAGTGGCTTAATGTCATAACGTTGTTTCATTTGGTTCATTTGCAGATTTATATACTTCGACAGAAGAACACATTTGACGAAACCGACAAGTTGAAATATTATGATATGACCTCGACTGCTTTTGACTTCAATTTCAAATTGAATTGACCTTAATCTTTAAGGTTAAATTATTGAAATTTGCATAAATTGTCACAACTTTGATTTATTACAGATTTCATTTATACTTGGAAAAAACACATAAGACAAAATCGACATGTTGAATTATTCTGATTGATCAACTTTTTTGAAATTTGCATCAATTGTTATAACTATGTTATTCATTTATGGATTTAATTCATTCTTGAACAGAAAAAAAACTTTTATGATAAAAATGACGTTGACCTTTGAATAACATTGACCTTCAGTATGAGATATGAATGTAAATAATATTTTGTACAAGAAAATTATGTTATTTTGGAATATTCTTGACTTCAACATTCTTCAGCATTCTTCATCTGACGTCCTTGACTTTAGTAAGAAGAAAAAAGTCAAGATTGAACCCCTTTAGGGGATGGCTCTTGCTTTATGTTGTATTTCAAATATACATAAACTGTTATGAAAATGACTTTTATTAGTTCAAGAGTATATAAACCTATATATCATAAAGTTTATTTTGTATGCATTTCTAATTAGAAATGGGATATATAGTTACAAAGCAGGTTCTATTTAAAGCATTTGGCTGTTACAGAGTGTTTCATGTGGACAATGAAAACGTTTTATTCCTGTATGTCATCTTTCAAACCAATAAGCACTTTAAACCGTCTTACTCGGTATTTAGGTACCTAATGAATTGTCCGCGGTATTGAAATAGATACTTTAAAGTCTTTGTATAATGTCGTTTCAGGAGCATCGAAACGAACAACTATAAGAAATGCAACGAATGGTCCTGCTGTTTTTGTCACAGAAACAACACCACTTGCAACTGAATTCATGTCAAATTACACACAAACGACGTCTATACATAAACATGACTCGCAAAATCAGAGTGACATGAAATATATTCCATTATTCATAGGGGGAGGAATCATTTTACTAATATTGTGCTTGACAGTGTTAATTTGTATTTATCTGTGCAGACGCCATTACCAATATTAATTTGGTCGAAATAAGGCTACATGTACAGACAGGTTATTAAGTTGTATAAAGTTAGTTTAAATAAAGTTAATTTGAATGTAAGAAATGTGAAAATATTGATACGATGACACTTGGAGTAGCTTCGATACTTTTGAATTTACAATTACTGGTCAACCATTGTCATGGATTGTTTATTTTCCAACTGTTTTTACCGTTTATTTATTAAGTAATGATTAGAAATCGCTTTAACCCTTTACCTCATATATACGCGAAACAACGCACTTTCGACCCCCCCCCCCCCCCTTTTTTAGGCCTCAAATAGTGAAAAAATGTCACACATGTTTTCGTTTGAGAAATGTTGCTAAAAAAATGAGCACTTTTTCGGCGCCGCCCCCCATGCAAAAGATACATCAGGGGGTTGCCAGAAGGGAGATATGCCCCCTTCTGTTAGGGGGGTTTGAAGGGGGGCTGAGTCCCCCTCATCGCCAATAAAATTTTGGACTTGTGAGAGGCTAAAAATGACCCCAAGTCGATCATAATGTAACGTGTAACCAACGCTGAAAAGCCTTTGACTCTATCTCAATCCCTTGATAAGTTGCAGCACTTTGAAATAAATTTTGATGGAAAAAATCGAGGCAAAATAGTGATTTTTGGCAATTTTGAGATGTCCCCTCGTTGCCATGGTAACAGGAAATTTAAGACTGAGCATGTCGTTACAAAGGCAATGGTCCAGTCAACATTTGTGCCAAGTTTGATTAGTATTGAAGCATTTTTCATAGTTTCATAGCAGTTTGAACTTGTAACAGGAGGCTTTTCTGTGAAAACGGCCATTTTTCACAATATGCTCATGGGGGAAAGGGTTAACTAAAAAAATATAAATGTTACAAAACAACAACTTTTCACCAAAATTAGGTATAAGACCACATGTAAACATGAAAAAACTAGTTTTTAGGTGATTCTAAAGTTTTTCATCATTTTTTGTTAACCCTTTACCTCATATATACGCGAAACAACGCACTTTCGACACCCCACCCCCCCTTTTTAGGCCTCAAATAGTGAAAAAATGTCCTATTTTGGCCCCAAACACATGTTTTCGTTTGAGAAATGTTGCTAAAAAAATGAGCACTTTTTCGGCGCCGCCCCCCATCCAAAATATACATCAGGGGGTTGCCAGAAGGGGGATATGCCCCCTTCTGTTAGGGGGATTTGAAGGGGGGCGGAGTCCCCCTCATCGCCAAGAAAATTTTGGACTTGTGAGAGGCTAAAAATGACCCCAGGTCGATCATAATGTAACGTGTAACCAACGCTGAAAAGCCTTTGACTCTATCTCAATCCCTTGAGAAGTTGCAGCACTTTGAAATACATTTTGATGGAAAAAATCGAGGCAAAATAGTGATTTTTGGCAATTTTGAGATGTCCCCTCGTTGCCATGGTAACAGGAAATTTAAGACTGAGCATGTCGTTACAAAGGCAATGGTCCAGTCAACATTTGTGCCAAGTTTGATTAGTATTGAAGCATTTTTCATAGTTTCATAGCAGTTTGAACTTGTAACAGGAGGCTTTTCAGTGAAAACGGCCATTTTTCACAATATGCTCATGGGGGAAAGGGTTAAGATACAGTGATTTATGTTTTTTTTTGCAAATTATAAAGTACGGAGAACTATATTTAGATTGAACGGAAAATCATGGATGACATGATAATTGCTCGGACAAACTTTATGTCATTGCTTTGATGTCATGGTGTGCACTCAAGAATTTTGATTTATACTATTATAAGTCATCCGCATATATCGTTATTGAAATTAGTAGAAAGAGGGCTGAATTAACATTAAATGATAAGGAAAACATGTTATGCGTTCATTCTAAAAATATGTGTCGTAAATTTTGTGTATAATACATTCCAGATTCAGAAAAATATCTTATGCGTTCATTATATAAATACGTGTCCAAAGACAGTCTATAATGCACTCAAGGTTCAGAAAAATATGTCAGGCGTTCATCGTGTAAATACGTGTCTTAAGTTTAGTCTATAAAACATTCCATATTCAGGAAAATATGGAAATCATAAGTCAATGGAAAGAATGCAGAAAAATTATGATAATATACTTAAAGCAAATACATCCTCTACTGCTAAAGAAAATGGAATGGTGAACGCATTTTAGATGATGACAAGAATTACATTTATAGGTTCCCCTTTAATTTTACAAAGGATTCCTATTTACAATGGTTGCAGTATAAAGTAAACCAAGGATACTGGCAACAAATTATTTATTAACATGAGAATTAAAGCGGTTAATATATGTTCGTTATGCAACAACTATATTGAAAATTCAAAAACAAAATATTTTTGGGATTGTCAATAAAGTTCTTCTTTCTTGGAATCTATAAAATCAAAATGTAAATATGTCAACACACAGTGAACTTAACCGATATTATTATAGGCAATGCACACAATGGGGGGAGTATACTCTTTAACGCTGCAAATTACAGAACTCAGTTCCAAGCGTTCCCAGGATTCAACTTTTTAAAGTTATGTCGCCCTTCTTTTGGGAACACAATCATATACTGTAAAACAAAAAACAGGGTTTTTTTTTATTGGGGCTTGATTCATTCCATACTACACCCACTGCCTTTTTGTTCTTTTTCTCTTAAACACCTATTAGGATTTATGGTCTATGGTGGCATATTTCTACAAATAGTTAAGTTAACAATATCATTATCGCGTTAACTATCTGACTAATTGTATCATAGTTTGGGGACCTTTCTGCTGACAATGTGTCAGAGTTAAATCTTTATCAAGTTTGCTCATATTAATTTGATTGGCCCCTTTTAGGTGCCACTAAAGCCAAAAATAGAAAAACCTTTGAACATCATTTCGTACTGAATAAATTGATAGATGATCACCAAACTTTGTAGCATTATTAGGTAGTCTTTTATCAAGTTTGCTCATATTAATTTGATTGGCTCAAATTTAATATCAGAAAATATTGACAATTGATAATTTCCAGCACTCAAAAGCAGTTGTTTCTTGTGAGCGACTATGGACCATCATGGCCCTCTTGTATAAATCCTGTTTATCAAATTAAAATCAAATCGATATAACACGATACATTTTTGCATTCAATGAGGTTGCTTTACTTAATTTGAATAAAAACATTCATTTTTACGTAATTTACGCACATATGTCTTAATGAAAAAAACATCATATTTGTGTGGATAAAATGTTTTGATAGTGTAAGGTTTTATCATAAAAATGTATTTGTATTAGTTTTCTGAATCTATATTGTTTTACTGGACATTATAATCACAGTAAAACCCAATATGATTTAATAAAACGCTTGCAGTTTAGATCAATTTAGTTGACAGTCCCCCGTGACAAAAATGTAGTCCGCATGTTACATGCAGCATAGATTGTTTTCATTTATTCATCCGTTATATTTGCTTTTTTCGGACATTTCGGTTTGCCGGTGAAATTGAGTGATCCACTTAAAATAATTACCCTCGGTCATTTTTCTAAATTAGAATTATTTTTTCTGGAATACGGGAGGAGGTAATGATCTGAAATTTTGCACAAAAGTTATTGGTCTAGACCTTCATCTAATGAGACTTTTATCTCGAAAAACAATCCCAGTTCCGTCATGTAAATAACCTCAAGGATTCAAATGAATAGACTATTTTTAATTCAATAGGGAAGTAAAAAGAAAAAAAAAACAACAACAACAACAAAAAAACAAACAAAAACAACAACAAAAAAACAAACAAAAAAAACCCCCAAAAAACAATGCCAGCATAGTTTTACTTAAAAACATTACCTGTACAGAAATATACATACATTTCGTTATAAACGTGGATCTATTAAAGCAGAGGCTGGAATTTAAATTTATATTCTTTATTTATGTTTATTCATGTTCACTTGTATATAAAATATTCTAAATACAATGCCTACTTTTGTATACAAGCTCAATGTGGTATTTTCAATAATTTGTGCAAATAAAAATAAAGATATAATTTATGGACTTAGAGGTGTAATAATCTATGGACTGAGAGGTGTTTGACAAACATCAATGTGTTACCTATCATTGACAAAGATCAAAAACATAAAGCACAAAATAGTTGTTAAAATGTTATTTTTATTACTAGTTATATGGTTAACATACAATTTTTGTTGGCAAATATATACATGGCTTACACATTATAGTTTTATATAAATATAAACAATGGAAAATTCATTTTCGCCATAAGCGACACATTATTGAAAAATGGCAGGCTCTGTTTTACCTCAAAGGTAAATGCATTATAGTAATCCTCCACTAATAGCGAATTAGTATAATTCAACTTTCATACAATCAATGCCAGCTCAATCATTTTCTGTCCATATTTGTTATGAGAATAACTAAGTGGTCATCAAAGCAAGGCCGACGAGACTGTATTGTTTTATAACGGTTTTACATAATTTAACTTTAAATTTGATTTTTAGCAGGGTTAGCCGCGACCTAATATCCCAAGTTGGATCGTCGATGAATGGTTATTGAATATTCTATTTTGTGTTACTGTTGAATTGCTAATCACTAAATGGTCGTTAGCCATGCCTGTTGTGTATGAACCACTGTGCTTTTTGCCTGAAGCTTATCGCATTGATTAGAAGAAAGGAACAAAAATATCGAAAATAAAAGATAAAAACAAAAAAACAACAAAAACAACAACAAACAACGAGCTCTCGACATTTAAGTCTATAAGGATCTCAATGGCAACTTTTCGGCCCTTTTCGTCAGTCTTCGGATAAGGACATTGAACACAATAGTATGAATACGCAGAACGCATACGGTATTTCGGTCTAGCCTACTATACGCTAAAAAACTAGAAATGTTAACAAATATTAATTTAATGTTTGTAGTGGTTGACAAGTTTATTTCCAATATATCAAGTTAATGCCGAATAAGTGAATTCATAGATACAAAAGCAAACAATACATTAATTGTATATCTATAATTATGGTTGTAGAAACCGAAAGTACAAAATGCCAACCTGATGACATTTAGTCGTATTTGTTTAAAGAAACCAAAGTAGTATCACAAGAAATGCTGAAAAGAAATGCATTCTGAAGAAAAATAGTATATCAGTGAGCATATTCAAATTAAAAATGATTGTCAGTCATATGTTCAATCATAATTGTACGGAAACAGACTTAATTTTCTTTTGGATGTCAATTATATGTACATTCGTTTTACATTATGCTTACATACCATGTGGTAGAACTACTTTTATTCCGTATTGTTTCCTAGGTTAGTATAGATAATATCAGAGGACGTTCCGACTGTAACGATCTAACACCAGCGGCCTGTGCAGACCGGAATATTTAGCACGAAGGTATCTGTTTACGGGTTTACGGCAGGAACGAGGCTCTGTCGAGTTTTCACTCAAAAGTTTGTATGTTTGTTTGGTTTTACGGCACACCAACACAGAAAAAATCATATGGCGTCGAAACAAGAAAGATGATCTTGGCTAACCTTGGTGTTACAATCTCAAACTTCAAAGCACCACAAGAGGATCAAAACCACCTTACTTGTTGGAACTAGGATTAGCATAGACTCCAGTTAACGATAAACAATTAAGAAAACCCGACTCATTTAGCGTCTTTCAAAAATTGTCATTAATTTCATGCTTGTTCAGTAAAATATGAGTAGTTAATTTGGGAAAATATATAATTCTTCTTTTTTACTGATAAAAGGCCCATTGAGGCTAAAATGCTATCATTTTCATTTCCCATCTTACCTGTTTATTATTGGGATCTTATTACAGCTTTTAAAACATGATTCATTGTTCATACAGACGAACTATCTTTTTCTTGTTTTGGTATAATTATAGAGAGTTAGTATTTTGTATTGAAGTCAAAATACTACATTGTTTACATTTTGCTATCTCTAAAACACATAACTGCGTTTTAAACGCTACTTTCTGCAGTTGTTTCACATCATCAAAATATTATTAATAAACACACATCTGACCTTTCTAAGGAATTAAAAAATATATTGATTTCTGAGGCATATTGTGCCTCTTACTACTAAAGAAAAGATGACTAGATGTCACACACGCGGTCGTGTTAAAGTTAATAATTATCTAACTATTATTGCAATGGTCAGACATGTCGTCACTTAAAGAATCGGTACCGTTATCAACTGAATCTTGCTGTACTTGTTTTTCTTTAACTAATTGTCCAGGTACAGCACTCGCCAAGTCTTCCTCATTAAAAACCGTTTCATTTTCCCCATCCAAATGTTGACCACACGATTCTGTGCATTGAATACTACGTTCATTAACAAATTCAACTAGATTTGTATCACCTGTTGCAACCACACATCGTTTTGATATATGTCTGATTATAAAAATAGATGCAAAGAAAGCAACATTTGCAAGGATTGCAACTAAGGAGCTCCCAATCCTTTCATAACCACTCCCCTCTCTAACTTCTATTGGTGATAAATCACTTTGCTTATAATCAGAAGGTTTAGAGATAAATTTATAGTTTGACGTTTCATCTTTTGAAAGTATATGCATTGCACCAGAGAAATTTGAAAACGTTCATGTAAACACATGATGTATTTCTTTCCTGTAA